TCCTGTTTACAATTTGGAGTCAGATGTAAATTATTTCTATTTTTTTATTTTAACGTTTACAGCAGGAGTATTGCTTGAATCTAAAACTAAGGGATTTAGCATATTTAAACAGCTTATTCAGTCATCCAATAATAATGTGTATGTTAGTACAGAACTTGATTGTAAGCAGGTTCTCGAGATAAAAGAGGATAATCCTTAAACTGAAATATTAACATTTTTCATGCGATCACCTAATTTTAAATAATTTTATTGATTTGAAAATTTAGTTTTGGATACACTACATCATGAAAAGTATTTGTCGGATATCACAACCATAATTAACGACAACAAATATATGCGGACACTGGACAGGGTCTTAAAGTGTTTACCAGTAACTTACCTAAAGAATAAGTATAACTCTATAACTATAAGCTCGATACAACAATGTTGGAACTCATTTCTTGTTTTACATCGGCAACTACGTTTCAAAATGGCTTTCTTCAACTGTTACGGGTTTATATCAGAAGTTCGACCAGTAGAAAGAGGGTATACGAGGTTAACAGTTACTACAAATATACCGTTTAAAACAAAACATTTAAAGTTCAACGTTTGGGATTCATTACTTCTAAAGAAAACAACGATGGAACCTTTCAAGATAGGCGAGGAGGTTGAAGTACAGTATTCCTTCAAGAATAACTTCCCTCAACTCATCAACATGATACCTGCTGAAATAGACAATTGTCCAGTGTGCTACTCTTCATTGGAAGCTATGAATGCACAGAGAATTGAGTGTTTGGGGTGTAGTGCTATATCAGAAGCTGAACATTCGAAGAGAGTTAATGCACAAATGAAACTTGTATCGTATACTTTAAAGAAGTACGAGAGCTCAAGGGGTTATAGACTTGAATTATATTTTGCTGATGGACATAAAACTTTTACACCAGTTATTTTTGAAAGCAACTTAGTGTTCAAAATCATCCCTGAATTAAAAGTTGGTGATAGTTATTTTGTTATTGGTTGGATAGCCAGTAATGGTCGTTTTCTAAATGTAGTTGATATTTATTAGTTTCCTTCCCTAGAGGGATAACAGAGTTTAAAGTAATTTTCACATATTACAATTTATAGTAACAGTTCGTTTTAATTGTTTATTCACTAAATATTAAATAAGTGGTAATAATGATAAAAAATTTCAAATAATGATAGACAAATGATAATAATTATAGGTGAATGATAATAATGATAGACAAATGATAATAATGATAGGCATGACAGTAGACTTCCCAGACATCCCGTGATTTCCCCTCTGCGCCCCCTCATTCTCCGCGCAGGGCCCGCCAGTGGAAGCCTGGGAAGTCAGGGAAGTCCGAACTAAATTTTCAAAACACTGCTTTCTCAGAAAAGTCTGTCATCTCTGATGACTCTTTCGATTGTGATATATCTATAAAATCTATGAAAATCCTTGATAATCTTGATATCCTTGATAATCCTGAAAATCTATGAAAATCCTTGATAATCTATCCTTTTGGAGTAAAATACCCAAACTCATGATTCCACTGTTGTATAAAAATCATGAGTATGTTTAAATTTCTGGAGGCCATAAGCATTTCCAAAGGTAGCAATGAAAAACCGTGCAATTAATGATACCAAAGGAATAAAAAGCTTGCCAATCTGATCAGGGGGGTATCACAGTCAGTATCAAGAGGCAGGAGCGAGCAGGGACTACATATCGGAGGATCACATTTTCACAAATAATCACAACAACAATCACCACAGCAATGACGGTCCCCAGATGGATCTACAGGGGTCCACTCTTCTTCTGTCATCCCAGACGTCGTATTTACGTGAACAATCGTCCTTACAATCGCCTATCAGCAATTTAACAGTGCAGTAGCATGTGTCTTGAGAGCATCCTACAAATGTGTTGTTGCATGTCACTTGGAGTTGTAACAGTCGTGTGAATGAGGATCACACAAGAAGCAGTGATCGCCAACAGTTGGGTACTGGGTAGTATACAGAGATTTCATTACATTGAACACCTGATCCTCTTGAATCATCACCATACAAAGGAGATCATCAACACTACATCGGTGGTCATCACAAGAAGAGGGTTACATGAACCTCCTCGTTGTTCACTTAAGCTCTCATGCTGGATCAACACCAAAAAGTTACTGTCTATGGTTCTATACAATTACCCTACACCAAAAAGATACAGTATTGAGCTGGCAGTAGGGTAGGCCTAGGGCTGTTAAACAGGTTAGTAATTTTATCTGTATCATCATTAGTGGATAGGTTTGTTTACTAGAGTCGAAACCTAACTATGAAAAGAGATTGACCCCAAAAGAGGTGGATGGCCTGCGGATGGTACTACAGCTCTTGTGCTGGATTAAAGATCAACGCAAAAACACCACCAGTTTATTTAAAATTGTGTACAACCTTGTGTACAATATCAATCATACTTTTAAATCCAGAAATATAATTATAATTTCAACAACAAGCAGTAACAGGTGTACTGTAATATTCAACACAGTGTCAATTTGATCCAAAATATTCAACAACTATATGTTCGTTATTAAACTTAACAATAGTTAACAACGGTTAAAGTTCAAGAATCTTACTGACGATTGTTTTATTCTCGTTCATTAGCTTGTTGACATCAGATAGACTTGTAGTTGTAATTACTGCATCCAATAGAGCTCGTTCTTCCAAACTTAAAACGGTGGCGATGTCTTTCCTAGAGTTATTGAGTCGCTGCTTCAATGTCTCAAACACTTCATTTTTCATTATGTAAGAGGATAAAAAGTCAAAACGTTTGTCTTCCTCCTTACATAACTTTCTTTGTGACAGAACGTCTAAAGTTTTGATAAATTTCGACATCTTCACCTTTTTGTTTATTTGTTTGATTGGTACTTCTTTCCGCTTACATTTTTGTTGCCACAGGGAGTCAGAGTCTAGCTTATCTCTACTTGTCATATGATCAGATTCTGTTTTTGACTCATCATCAACACTTGCTACTTCAGAGTTAGAACTGTCTTGATAATCTTCTTCAGATATTGTTGTATCAGCGTCTGAATATTTAGGATTATCCCTTTTTTCATCAGTCACATAAGCTTTTGACGGTGGGTGGTTGATAGAACTTGTGTGTGATTCTCCCTTCTTCCGATGATACCGACTTTTGTGTGAGGACAGACTTTGCTTGTTTGCGAATTGTTTATCGCAGAGAGGACAAAACACCGACATCTCTGATTGAAATGAATTTCCAACCTTGTTCTCTTTATATACTTGGGGACTGCTCAGCAATTTACTCAAACATCGCTCAATTTTGCTTGAATGTTGTTTTGATATTGTTCAGTCTTGTTGCATCGTCACCAGTTCTAGACCCTGGAATGTTTTGCGTGATGTTTTATGAAAATCAGCACTGTTACAAAATGATCATCATATAATTCAAAAGGGAAAACGGATTCGGTTGAATGAACTGAAAACTGTAACTGGGATTTGCTTCAATCTGTAATTACCTGGTGTGGCATGCATCTCGTGAAGGTGGATATCATAGTTCTCCCTAGCCAGAGTCTCAAACGTAGAGCTCCTAGCTGTGAGTTCCACTACATGGTTTATGTCCGTAAGGAGTAATACTGTATCGCGAAAGGATTAACGGTCACGTGATTGGATCACTATCTGTTATTGACCCCTGTAAATTTAGTTGCAATATTTGACAGTCCTATAATTACTCAATTTTAAATCTTACAATATGATGGAAGCGTAAAATTAATGCTTCCCGGAATTAGCAAAATGAACAAAAACAAGATGTTGTTGGAATACGTAGAATACTCAACAATTGAAAATTTTATATACATGTTTCAACCGCGCTACTCTTCAAGTTTAACATTATGACTGACTCACCTGACAAACTAACGTTTTGTTGCAAGTCCCAGAATTAAAAATTGGCACCTTTTCAGTCACTTCTCTTCGAAATAACAACAAATAATCATATTTACAAAATTGGTAAACGAATTTCAAGTAAATCAGGCGTAATACGGGGGGCAGGTTTGACAATATTCAACATATCATGGTCTTGTGATACATTTATGAAAAGCTCTCTTCAAACAATTGTCACACCTCAAAAATATAATAATGCAGCGTCAATTGTTGCTACTAGTTCTGTGTGTCCGGAGCTTGAGTTCAAGTTGGAAATAAAAAACGGACTTGTGAAATACTATGTAGCATTACTAGACATCAAGTGTAAACAAAAATTGGTCAAGATCTCGCCGTGTCGTAGATTGCTGTTTCAAAGATAACACATATGAAATGATGATAAACATAATAATTCCGGGAGTGGTCACGCGGAGATCGGGAGGGTAAGTTGAAATATGATTGTGTAGATTTTGATATAGCAAGTACTTGCTGCAAATTGTGGGACCTATTGCTCTGGGAGGGTCGGGTTCACACCGAGGGATTTATTGCAATAAAAGTCCTCGTGCTCTAAGAAAGATCACACCGGACTTGCGGATCTTAGGAACAAGGGCCCGGAACAGTTTTGTGTGCCCCGTGAACAGAATATTCGCTACAAAATAAAAATATACTTACATCTGAGATGTCTTGTTCCAGTCCGAGAGGTGTGAAACTAAACAATCGAACTCAACAACAAATGAACGATCTCTCGAGGGTCCCCGGAGCCCGTTACGAGGATATTTCACACCTGGCTCACAGAGAGCCCGTTCCGGGTGAGTTCCCGGGCTGTGGTGATTGTTGTTGCGATTGCCCCTGGTTCACGGAGGGTGTTCCCGGAGCAGTTCCCCAGCTCCCCGGGGCAGTCCCTCAGCTCCCCGGGGGCAGCTCGGCCCGGGGAGGCCCCGGGGGCAGTTCACACCTAGGTGATTGGGGGCCAGGTGTATGTATATATACTACTCATACCGCTGACATTTCTTTACCCATCCTACCATAAACTTGGATCTTTTCGATCACTCTTAAAAGTAACAATTAGATTCCAAATTAATTTATCCAGATTGTACACAAAAATTAGTATGTTTTCGAAGGTTCGAAATGAAATATGAAACGTTGTATTATAAACATTATAAGAGCTCGCAATATTCTTCATCTCGCTAAGATCGCTCTCAAACATCTGAAACATTGTCACGTGATTATGTTCACGTGTGAATAATTTACCTATCATGATCAGTATCATTAAACAATTATGGAATCGTTTCAAACTTTTAAACCTGTTACAGGGTGTTACAGTTACATATTCAAAATAAATATGACCTTTTGCAACTAACGACAGAAACACTGGCAGGCGACATAATATCATGAGCGCAAATTTCTGACCCAGACATACTGGCATCGAGTAAAAAATGATCTTTTCATCTCATTCACCATCCTTCATGGTCAAGGACGAGGTTCCAAACAAATATAGGATATAAATAAAATTCATTTACGATTAAAAAGAATCCGTGATCCTGAATTAAAACAAGTTATCTATTTGTAGATGAAACTCGGTCCCTTCTCATATATATAATTTAGCGGTTCATCATGGCACTCTCTGTAATGTTCACAGATCGTACGCGGTGCTGTACTTATATGACTCTTGCTTCATCGCCAGTTTTTCAGCTTGTTTCATAAACAGAAGTTTCTCGTAACCGTTGGATCTGTCCACACCGTCCCATTTGGGTCCTGGCAAGATGCCAAATCTGTTTGGGGGAGCAGGAGGACCGCTGTAATCCCCACCTAGAACAATGTTACGTTATGCGGAATGCAACAGATTAAGATATACCGGGTTTGAATTTCTTACATTTGTCCTCAATCTCCACAAAGTATGTAGCCTGGAGTTCAGACTGTTTTGCTTACGTTACTAACGAAGAACCGGACCATTACCGGACATAAATCTAGAAGCTAGTTCTTGACTTACCACTGTCGCTACTGCTACTACTGCTCTCTGAACTATCACTGTCGTATTTCTTCTTCTTGCTCTTCTTACTTTTCTTCTTCTTTTTCTTCTTACTCTTCTTGCTCTTTTCTGGAAGGAAAATATTTTAACACTATGTTATAGACATAGTATGAATGTTCGGCAACTTGTGCGGGTTCATGTTATCTACATCCTGGTTGCACCATCCACAACTTTTGTAGTCATATAATTTACAGAGCAAACTATTAGTGAAATGAGAGTAATTGTAACAACTTACTCTTTTTCTTCTTTTCCATGAACTTGTTCATGGGATCCTCATCTCTTCCTTTCTGTTTCAAGAGCGAGTTTAAGTCCTGATCGTCATTGTATCGAGCCATTGGTTTGGTCATCTCGTATTGGTTGTCAGCTTTTTTGGCAGCTGCTTCTTTGGTCTGTACTAACCTAAAATAGAACATTGGTAAACTATTTAAATTGCACTGGGGACTCGCTTATTTAAGATCGAGACAATTGAGAACAAAATTGGACCACACCCTTCGATACCGATCACAGTTTTAGCAACGAACAACCAAGTAAATCATAACTTGATGTTACGACTCACTACTCAGTACTCACTGAGGACCGTTTACATATTACATAAATCTTCTTTTGTGAAAGGGAATGGGGTCTTAAGTCCGAACACTCACCCTTTGCTGTACATCATGAACTTCTCCAACTTTATCCTCTCCTCCTCGTTCTCAGCACTCTCCTTTGCTTCTTCTAACATTTTGTCTATTTTGTTACCTTGTTTGTCTCGTCGCACTGGAGCGTCTGGTACCTTAAACTCTCCTTCCTGTTAATGACATATTATTAGCAGTCTGCTGGTAGCAAATGGTTTAAATACCTGTTTTTGATCCTTTTTCGTGTAGTTTTATGAAAATTACCAAATGAGAGTAAAGGAAATAATAACCATTTCTCTGCGCTTCTTTTCAGCGAATTCTTTCATTTTTGCGAGTTTCTCCAGAAGTTGATTTGCAGATTGTAGTCCTCCTTTTCTGTCAGGAGACTCGTCGCTGTCTGATGAATCTGAATCAGAGGACGACTCCTTTGCCTGAGAAGGGAAGGGTGATTAAAAATGTCGTAAAAGACAATTCGATGTTGGCTGAATGTTGACTTAAACTGGTTATGGTTGTGACAGTCATGGTCGGGAGCAATTTTGAAAATCTGTGCTCCGGATAAGAATTAAATAGCGTTTTTAATAAAGTTTACCTTTTTCCTCTTTTTTGATTTCTTTTTTGATTTCTTTTCTTTCTTTGAAGATCGTGGATCTTCACTGAATTTTCTAGGAGCTTCTGTGAATGTTCGTTTTCGTGGGGGTGAAGCATCTGGATTAAAGTGTATTATAAGTATGATAAGTGTAGTGCCTCGGCACAGAGTGGCTTAGGGTTACCGAAAAGGAGATAAGCACCTCAGACCATCCCAACTTGTGGGAGAGACCTGTCCTTGTATCTTTGTATCTTTTGTAAGTATGATCTTACATAAGCTAATAATTTCCTAGATGTAAAAAACGCGATCGATGAAGTATAAAAGTCACTGAGGTACAAGGTACATAATAAAACAAGATACAACACCATTCTCACCTGAATCTGACCCGCTGGAACTTTCTGACGACTTCTTATTTAGTCTGGGAGGTGAGTTGTCGGAGTCTGAATCATGTCGACCTCGTCCGGAATTAACTGCAGCACTGATCAGAATTTGATTACCATGAATTTTGAATACGAAAATATTTGAGCAATATTGCTGGAGCCAATAATAACACAAAAAAGGTTGAAATGACTGCTGAAATAAGATAGTTTTGTTTACCCGTTGCCCCCCTGGTTGCTGCCTGTGGGAATGTTTGAGAATCCCACAGTTGTGAAGCTAGATGATGGTTTCTTCCACTTTGAATTTCCCGATCTTGCAACAGGGGCGATAAACTGAAAAGATTCAAATTTGTTCAAAATATTATCAAGTTTATGTTCACATTCACAAAAACCGCGCAAGGTACGAGATTCAGATTTCAGACCCTGTGAATTAATCATTAAAAGCTGTGAGGACCTACCTGAGGTGCATCCTCCCCATACTCCTCATCTGCACGTGATCCTGCTTGTATCTGGTTCATGGACACCTCGTTATCAATTATTGTCATGTTGCCCCCTGTACTATGTCGAGCGTTTCGGGCCTTCTTGCGAGCTTGAGCCGACTCGGACATGTACTTGCGGAATATCTCCTCTTGAGACATCGCCACTGAAAAGGGCCCCAATTTTAATTACTAGGTAAGGAAATGAAGGGGAGAATGTTCGGCAGTCACAGACTTACAACAGCTTTATGCCGGGTTAGAACTAAAAGTTTTCATTTACCTTCCACAAGGTCGTGAGCGACACGATTTTTGAAACGGACGAATCCGAGTTAAACATGGGGACATAACATTTACCATTTCGTACCATACGTTCATAACCTCATAACCATAACCTAGTACCATGACATTAAACATAAAGCGAGAACATAGCCATTCCATACACCATAACCTTAACATAGTAGCATTGCATTTCATAGCTTCATGGCCTAGACACGACATTTGGTCAATGTGAAACTTACTCTTTAGTTCGGCCTTCCTTCTCAAACCATCCTATGAAAATATGATAAAGTTAGTATCACATAATTCAAAATTAAAGTTAGTCATCAAATTTGTAGCAGAGACTCTACTGCCGTGCAGAAAGAAATAAAATAAACAATGAAGTAAGATAGGAGGCGCGCGTAAAGCCGCGCACAGTATAGATTAAACTGGCTAATTTAATTTGATTATGCGAGGAGTAGTGCGTGCAACGTTTACAGTATCCTTAAATTGAGACTGCCCCAAAATATAACATCAATTTTCGTGGATGGAGCAACAAAAAAACTAGAAATGAAAACAACGCCAAACACTTCAATAAGGCTGCACCTAAATGTACAGGATAATCTCACAAAAAGTTTAAATTACACCCAAAATATGATACAAATTCAACACATAAAAGAAATTAAAACATTAGCTTAGTTATTTAAAGCCGTTGTTTTAATCAAGATTTCAAGACTAAATGCAACCAATAAAATACAAATTACTTCAAAAATCTCTGTTAACCATGAGTTTATATTAGGCGAAACAATCAAATTCAATAACCCACATAATATACAATTAGCTATAAAATGCATCAAAAACTTAACACTTACAATTTAGATGTCATAGGATGAATCGTCAAAGCGAATTCCCTTATAGTATTAGAAAAGAGGAATGGGTCAACGCAAAAAACTTGAGTTTTGCCTTTATCAAGACTAACAAGTGACAGTTTAGCAAGAACAAGAATAGAGTTTTCGATGACATTAAGATTAATTGATTCCCCGTACAGATACGGTTCACAATACAAGACTGATATGTATGTTTGAATTCTTTTACACAGATTCTTCAAACTCTGACTATGCTGAAGTGTTCTAGGCATGTATGAAATACAAAACTGCCAAGAATCCATGTAAGTAATGAGGAAGGGATCGATCAATGAAACTAGGAAATCTTTTACTTCCATGTCTACAAATTTATAAACATTATCAGTTAGTTTCACTAAATCTAGGTTAATTAGTTGTTTAGTTGCTTTGTCGAAGTCAGCCGGAGCTGAGTCGGGCATGAAAACGAATTCGTACTGCATGATGTCACGCAGTCTCTGATACTGTTCCAGGGTTCGTTCCTTTGATTTGGGGTGGAAAAGTATTTTAGCAAGCATTGCCACGTGTATTAGGCTGTGCATAAACTCGTTACGTCTCCTCCCCAAGCTGAATGGTGGATGTTTATCAAAATCTGATTTAGTCGAGCACTTTTATTAAAATATGGCAAAATATCAAGAGATGGTCTTTAATGATAACTGATGGTCAAAGTGTTAGGGTGTCGAACACAAAATTTTCTTCGAATCACGACGACACGATCTTTAGATTACATAAGTCGATAAAAAAGGAACTAATGATAAACGAACCTGATAAGAGAATTGCACTGCTTAAACACAGAACTACTGAGATAAACAGCAGTGGGAGGGGTTTTGTGAACGATCACGTGACCTTCTTCACAGTACACAACAGGAGACAACATCCTAATCACGTGATCCATGCAGCTTTGTTTCCTGTCCCAGACGAGGTTACAACCCATCTTTATCAGCAGGTCACATGCCCACATAAGTTCACTTTCTGCCTGCACGGAGAAGAAATAGATCAACTTGGTGGTCAAAAAGAGATTACCGTATATACCACATTCACTATCAAGACATTAGTGCTTCATCTGACACGTTTATCTAAGAGAACTGAAAAACAAAACTTTAAAAACTAACCTTGCACAAGTCCAGACTCCAGACCTTCTTCTTTATATGTAGGAGCAACACAGCAGCTAGAACAGAACAAGGAAACACGACAGCGTTAGCCTGTTGTTCTAGAAGTATACGGTACGCCAACTCGTTGACAAATGTACGCTCGTGAGGGTGTACTGAGGGTATAATAGCACGTGGTACAACTGCTCTCAGCTTCCTGTCCACCTGGGGTTACAGAGTATTGAATGTTAGTATTACCGAGTAGAGTGAGATGCACACATCTTCGTTTCAAGTATGTTATATATAGTATTGGCTATGCCCCGCTTACTAGTTTAGCTCTTTCTAGTCCCCTGCTACACGGCATGTAAACAGGGATTGGCTAGTTAGAGGCGGTCCGTGTAGGCCTTACACTGTGCTTTCAGCAATACTCATACATATGAATTCAAATAACTTCTGTTTTTCTGAGTAGCTTGGTTTCGACTAAGTGTAGTTTTGGATATTTTTCACTAGACACACACACCCCCTTTGCGGTACTAACTGTTTTTTTGGATAATACCTAAGACACCCACCCCTTTTGCTGCCTTTTGCGGTACTAACTGTCGAAAAATCGTGGTACTAACTGTTTTTTGGTATATAGAATAAGATACCCACCCAGAAATTGCTTTTTTTTTAAAGAGCTCATTTAAACTTTAAAGGAAGACTTAACAAAATTTTAAAAATTAAAAAAAAACCCAATAAAAACCTCAAAATCCATTCCCAAAATTGAAATTTGAGGTAAAATGGGTTTTTTTGGGGTTAGACACCCCCTTTAGTACCATACATTCTAACTGTTTTTCTGGAAAATAGGCAGTAGACCCACCAGTTAGTACCATGTACTAACTGTGTTTTTGGGAGAAAAAATGACCCACCCACCAACGTGACGTCCGGCACTAAGTGTATGATCCCCCCCCCCCCCCCCCCCCCCCCCCCCGTTGCTTTACTAATAAACTATTTATAGGTTGACAAAAACGATGCTAAATATGGAATATTGTATGAATTTAGACCTCTTAACGTTAGAAGATCTCCAATCATAGAAATGACTGTAATGTAAAATCACCTTTCCAACCGCTGCTTCGTAGACCGATATAATCTGCCCAGCTTTAACATGGATTCTACCGTAGTTGTTATCAAGTATAGCTCTAGCTTTAATCAGACCAGTGGTACTCTCCTTTGGTTTGGGTATACCCATCATCTCTCTGACATGTAGGTTCTCCTCCACTGTTTTCTCGTAGCTCAATGTTATGGGACAGATAGCCACGTCTGAGACTCTGGCGTCAAAGAATGGTTCCAGGGCGATAGTCAGCATACCAAACTTGGGCTGCAAGCTTTTACCTACGAGAAGGAATTTAAATATTTTGTAAGCTATGATGTTACATTTATAATGTTAAGATATATCAATCGAGAAATTGTTTGTTAAGAGTTTTTAAGTACTGAAATTCTCTGCAAGCTTAACACATTTAGCTTGAACACCAAAACAATCACAAAAACTAAACTTAAAAACAAATAAATGATTATAAACGTGCAGTACTTTAACTACTCTAAAATGTGACAATACCACGTGACAATTGCAATACCACGAGACAATACCACGTGACAATACCACGTGACAATACCACGTGACCTACCTGTTCTACTGCGAGTACCCTCTATAAAGAACTCAACAGGTGCATCGCCGTTAATGATGTGTGTTTGAGTGTACTCCGTGAACAGAGCCCAGTACAGCTTATCTTTACCAAATGAGCGGCGGATGAAGTATGCGCCACAGCGCCGCAGTAGCATTCCTACCCCCTTCATGAACATGAAGTCCTGGCAAACACAGAGTTAATTTATAAAATATGCGACAAGTAAAACAAAGGATGACACAGAAATGTAAAACTAACCTCAGACAATTTTCACGTGGCAAGAAACTGAATAGTAAATAATAACTAATTAATGAATAAACCAAATAATTAATTAATAAACCCACCTGGCCAGCAGCAATAACAGGAGTCTTGATATCGTAACTATAGAGTAACCACGTGACCAGTATAAAGTCCAGGTAGGACCGGTGAGTGGGTATGAGGAGTAGAGGTTTCTGAGAACTTAGTCTTCTTAGTTCTTTTATACCTTCTGTGTGAACTGTTACGTCTGTTATTATCTGCTTGAAAACCTGAAGTTTTGTTAGATCTATATAAGTTAAATTTATAAAGTTATAATTAAATTCAGTGAATAGTACTACCATTAATTACAAAACAGATTAATGTATTAAAAAAGTTTATAAAATTTTGAATTTAATCTAGACGTATTACTCTCAAATCTTACAAACAAACTCATTACACCTTTCTAATGAGACCGCCAAGGAATCTAAGGATAGTCATGCTGAACTCATGTCCCATCTCCTCCAGGATATCTGTAGCTTCCTTATCTAGCTGATCCTTTGATCTCCCTGTCTCTTTACACAACATGGAGATAACACGTCGCACCCTGTTAGATTGTAGCACTTCCTCTCGTATCATACTGGGAACTCTGGCAATAATAACGAGTGATTGGGAGAAATTGTAGGTAAGTTCATATTAGAACGAACATTTATGGAGATAATTTTATTTTGTTCTATGTAATTACGTTACTATCAACAAACTCGATTGTAATGTTACTTCCATAACACTACAACTTACAACCCACACATTCATATACAAATCACACTATCTACCTGTATCGAACGTAGGTGTATCTGGGAGGTCTGTAGTCCTTCAAGGACCACTTTATTTCACTCTTGTAACCATGGATAAGCAAGTTCTCAACTTCACCTCCCTCTCCCTCATCTTCTAAACTAACTGTCAGATCCGACTCTTCTAGAAGATCCTCCGGGAGGGCTGCTGCTATCTGATCAACATCACATTCCTCCCTGCATTCTTCAGATAGTTGTTTCAGTACCACAGAAAGGTCGGCGCTGCTTGCACCTGACATGACATAGCCCTGATTTAGCTGGTTTGTTAGAATTAACAGTGATTTTAAATATATCAGTACATAGTATTTGGGTTTTGATGTGATCTTTAAAAGCAGAAATGTGGGAATATATGAAGAATATGGATTATGGAGAAAGAATTCATGCCGTAACATCAAAATAAAGACAATTTAGTTAAACCACTATTTAGAATTCATTCAAGTTTCATGAGGAGGAGTAGAAACGTCATAGCTCCATTAAGCTGGTACTGGCGGATTAAATATTGTATCTTAATTCTTAGAAATGTTGGAACTATCCTATGAGCCCGACACAATAATTTCAATTCAATATCTAGTAGTCTTGGTGAAATTCCAATATCACGTATTGGACTAGTATTATGGTTAAGGTTAAGCGAAAATAGCACGAAATAGCAGAATTTTACTATCGTGTCGTGCTTATTCGATACTGCCGAAAGATTGATCAGATCAAATTAAAATTAAATGCAGAGAGAGCTTAAGCTCAACGGTTGTTAATAATGAATAGTTTTCTTGAAATACATACTTTGTATGTTTTTAAGTTCCCTTTTCTTTACTGGCCATAATAAACTGTTAGAGCATGTCCAATCCACAAATGTAGATCACAAAATAATCTTAATAGTGTTTAAAAGCAAGTTAACATGATATTATGCCTAATTAAGAAAGTAAAAAATAAAACCTTCAGAACTTTTAAGATAGAATCATGATTAAAAGCTATAAAATAGGTCGGTATATTCTAAAAATGACTCAGTAAAAATGACTTAGATGATAAAAACTTAAATAGATCAGCAAACTCCTTATAATACTAACCACTCTGTAAAGCTCAACTCAGACATGGGCGATATCTCTACTTCCTCAGTAACAAAATTAACAGTACCAGAAGAAACTGACTCTATTTCAGAGAGGAGGTTAAAGAAAGACACATTACTATCTTGATCTAGACTTCCACTAACGTTTATTACAGCAGAAAAGTGAACTGTAGCACGAGACAGGGTTAGATAGAAGGCTGTTAGAAATTCCAACTGACCGATAGAAAAGTCTGTCGTCGAATGTAAATCAATATCGTATCCCAGAAGAGCTACAACAACTGGCCATTCTAGTGAATGACAAGAAAATGGGTCTCTAATCATGACATTGACCTCCTCAGATCTCCAAAATCCAGTTTCATTGAGGACATCGAGTATTGTATTTTCATACTGTCTCTGATCTAGTGTGCACAAAATGGCGATTTCAGTCGGTTTAAAGACTGATCTGTTGTTTTCTGCAACTTTCAACAGTTCATTTGTCAACAAGATCTTAAGTTTGTTTGCGTCGACTTTAAAGCCATCTGATTTGACAATAAAAATTTTAGGCTTGGTACCTCTGATAAAGTGTCCTGATTCAACTTCTTCAACAAAGCTTGTTCCAAACTCATTTACAGTATGTGAAAAGTTGAAGTATTTTCTCCTGATTAAATGAGATATTTCAGAGATTTCACGAGAATTACGAAAGTTTATTGATAAAACTTTCACCCGATCACTGATGACAGAAAATATTTCCGCAAAAGATGTCGATTTTAAGAAATTCTGATCAATCTGTTGTACGATGTCGCTGGCTATCCAAACAGAGCAGTCGTTATCTTTAGAGAGATTTTTCAGTTTCCTGATAGGTTCTTCGATATTAGGAAAATTATTGTCGATGGGTTCCAAAACTTGAGCTAAATACGAATGCAGACAACCAACTTGAAAGTCATCAAAAAATACAAAATACGATCCACCAATATTACAAAGTTCACTAATCATTCTGATGGCATCAAGGTGGTTCTTTTGGTGGCGTTTTGATTTGTATGGAGGCGTGCCAGAATTTAATAGAATAACATTATTCGAACACTCCTTTATCATGGATGCTCTGTTTCTATAATCAATGTCCCGAGATTCCACTTCCGACCAATGTTCCAGACTCATAGTTCCACACAAACCAGGCTTTATGCCGTTCAAAAGGTGACAATAATTTTCGTAACTAGATGCACATGATTCCAAATAATCTGGAACCATGATTATAACTTTATCTTTCCTATCATTGGTGTTAAGGGCAATTTGCAGTATTTTACCAAGCATAACAATGGATTTGCCTGAACCGGCAGAGCCATCTATCCAAACAAACTTGTCGTCACAGTCGAGTATTTCAATCTGTTGTTTTGAAAGACATTTAATGTTGAGATGAGCCCTAAGCAATTCAGGTGCATCAATTATTCTAGGATTTGAAGGATATTTCCTAATCTTCCTTTTCTTGCATGCCATCTTTTTTCCAGAGTTTGCTTTTTGCTTCAATCTTTCCTGATCAACGGCTCGCCTGGTCACAAGAGCTCCTCTTAGTTTTTCGTCAATGCCCATAACACGGTTTTTCAAGCTGCAAGATTCAATATCATACCTATTATCTATATCAAAACAACAAACACCTAGGAGAACTTCTTTTAGAAGACTTAAATCCAACTCGACCCTACTCAAATTTTGTGTTACTTTTAAGTCAAACCATGGGTTAAAACTATCTAAATCATCACTAAACACCAAACTATTGCGGAATATTTTTGAGCTGTCACTCTCTTCCCCGATTAAGGGGATGCATTCTTCATAACATAAGTTACTGAAGACAATAAATTTCAGAATCTGAACATCATTACAGACACCCTTAATGAACTCCTCGATTCTTTTGATTTGTCTCAATGCATCTTCACAAGATCCTTGAAATCGTACTGCATTGTAGGGATCAGACTTGTCTGTAAAATGGAGACCCTTAACCTCGAATAATGCAACATAATTATCCCCTATCAGAATAAAATCACATTCGCCTTCCACTTCCTTAGACACTTTATGACAAGGATGAGGTTTTATGTCCTTTGAACATTTCATATTTGAGCAAAAATGATTTGGCAAAAAAGCTGAACATTGGTCGTGAGTATATTCTACTCCATGAAAGACCAAAGCAGGTTCCGGCAGATCTTCCAAATGTCTATATAGCTTCACTTCCGCCTCATAGCCATCTTGGAGTTCTTTTTCTGCTAAATTTAGCCCCTCTAATGTCATGCCATCTGGAAATTTATCAATGAAGGTTGAATTAGGGATTGGCGGTATCATGGTTGGTCTAACTTTAAGAAAGTTCCCTTTGTGATGTAACGTCTTTTCAAAGATACTTTTACCAACATTCTCGATCCTACTCCGGAGACCTAACAGTTTCTTACTTGTTGGCTTCTTCGTATTATCTGCTAACTTCAGCTCGTAAAGTTTCCTGACCGTTTCATCTTCAACTTCAATACTATCTGTTCTCTTATTTTCCGAAGAGTTTGCGTCAGTTGTTTCCTCAGTTTCTGCTGATTCACACTGTGATGGTTCACTCACTTCATCCTGTTCATCAGATGTGCCTGGTTGTTCATTATTGTACTTTTCTCTCCAAGTCATTGTAACCTCACAAAATCTTGCTCAACAGCAAAGGCAATATCAGGAACAGTTTTGCAGCTTGGTGAATAGAGAACATATACATGGTTAGCTGTAACTTGAAACCTAAGGGAGAGAAGAGGTTATAAACGTACAGTTATTACTTTTTTAGATGGAGAAGATTAGTATGTAAATATCCTGACTCGTGAAATTTACGTGTCAGTGATCACGTGTTAGAAAAAGCATGAATCACCACCCGGCCCACTTAAATAGTAGTAGATCTTATTAAAAATTGAGATTTAAAACGGATTTAATAACGCTACAGCATTGAATTGAAACATTACCCTCTCGTGAAATGGGAATATTTAATAGTAATACATCAGTGTAATTAGTCTCAATAATTCACTATATTATAAATTATATTATGACCATAAATTTATTCAAAACTCGAATTACCAAATCTTAATCCATGTGAAAGGCACACTTCAATAAGTATCATGTATCAATGTTTTTTGAAGTAACCTTAAAAGTAAATTTTGCTATGATATAATACAAACTATGAAACACAAATCTTCGTATTAAAGTTATAAGATAAGAACAATAACATATTATCAAAATGAAGTTAACACTTTAATCACAATATATCGTGTGTTATTTAATGACACATCAGTCACCTGAGTTCTATTGGACATATTCATAATCACTATTTCTCCTCCATTATAGAGCTAGAGCCTTGTCATGGCTTCATTTGTGATGGCTGTTACTTGGTTAGTGGTTACCAATATCACTTCACTCAACAGAGGTTGATGGCGCAGTTTTCAACGTTCAAGTATGTAGAATGATTGCTAAATTCTTAAGAATACTTTCACAGTAACATCTCATCACATCAGATCAACTAAGTACAGGGTTCACTGTAAAGAAGCAGATGTCACACAGGCCTATCTGATCTGATGAATGTCCGGTTCCATTGCTTCTAAGAGTAGTTCCAACCCACTCCTCCCCTTATTCTCCCTCCTACCTTCCCACAACTCAGGCATGTTATCATAACACCTCAACTCGTTCAGAGTTATGTGACCCTGTGGTGGTTCGTGTGACACAAACGACAAACAGTCCAGGGGCCTGGGGACATCCTCAGCGGGACCTAGCAGGAAGTCGTTGGGATTGTAGGAGACAGGGTCGGGGAAGAGGGGCAGCAGCCAGATTATTACAGCGTATTGGTTGCACAGTGGGTCCTCCATGAAGCTACGGATACACACGTAGTATAGTCTGTCCTTACCTCGTATAGAGAACACGTCACCTACCTTGTACCGGATACCTGTGAGGATATATACTAATCAATCTGTGCAGCACTTTAACAACAATTTAAATTGTGGTGATTGCAACGAGGGCCTGGGAAAGGGGTCTTTGGGAAAATCTGGGATAGATTTCGAAATTGTCGAAAAACTTCAGGAGCATGAATGTCGGAAATTACAGAGGAATCTAATTTGTGATTTGAATCTTAGACAATAGATACAAATGCATTTTAATGAAATAAATTGTTGACTAAGTCGCAGTTCTGAGTGCTGAGCAGAGTGGAGCTGTGACCCATACATTAGATACACAGTAATTAACAAATCAACAGCTTGTTAACTTACTCTTGTAGTATATTTGGTTGGAAGTTATGTAGGTTGCTTCTTTGTAAGGCAGCTTGTACGACGATTTCTTTAGTTTGCCTTCCTTGTTTTTCTTAGCTCCTTTTGGTGCCATCTGAATGATATAGCGGCTTAAACAAGTATAATATATGAACAATGTTCATGTACAACCACAACAATGATATCGGTTAGCACTTAGCATCATAGAAATTGTATTTATTGAAGTTCGTTTGAACTGTTGTACAGTGTACACGGGTGAAGAATTTATCGAAGTTATTATTCAAAATTACTGCCATGAACGACTGTACAGTCAAGCAAAACTGACCTTTTTGTTGTGCAGATTGTTCATGCGTTTACAATGTAACTTGTTCTTGTAATTCTTGGAATTGGAACTCTCTTGTGAACACGAGGAACACAGCACTATACCTGAACAAGAAGTTACCATGAAGTTGGCATGAAGTTAGAGTGGAGTTAGAGACTAGAGTGTAACTCGATACAATCAGAGATATGACATGAACAATTATAGCAGTACAGATGGTTGAATGTGTAGTAATGTGTAGGTTATATTTGTGTAGTGGGAGGGTGAGAAAGTGGCAGGTGTTGAGGTAGTATCACACTATCAGATGTTATACTCATAATGTTAGTGATATAACAGGAGAGGTTTCTAGAATATTCCATGGCATCATTTTTCCAATAGGCAATCTTATTAAAACAATACAATTGTTGCCTCTCTATGAGATTTTGGCAATTAATTACAAACTAAAAAACAAAAGTAAGCCATCAATCATCATATTGAAGTATTTAATTATTTAGCTGAAATTTAATTAATTATTTAAATAATTACCTAGATTAGTGGTGTGCCAAATGTCACTGTGTTCAGAGTCACACTTCATGCAGCAGGAAGCAGGAGCCAGCTTGTTGTCCGACCTGCAAGCACTACTTATGAGTTAAAGTGGCACCTGGAATGTTTATTGGAATGAAACAGAGACCTAGAGACTCAAATTCTCAATCATCAAAAATGTTCTGACGATATTATGATCTATTTGATTTGAGCTAAATAAAAATGAATCACAGGACCAGAATTGACCACATTTTGAGATGGTAATATAAGGTAAGAATTGATAACTCTGCTTATTATCAAATCCTTATAATATAAATCAGAATATGTAAACAAACCTAGTGGTAGGCCCATCCACCTTGAGACCATCAACTCCAACCTCGCCACTCTGCTCCATCTCCACCACCTCTCCTCCCTGCACCACCTCCCCTTCTTCCCCCTCCTCCCTTATCTCCACCACACCATGGTTGTGGATGTGGTTCCTCTTGGGTCGGTGCTCCTCGCTGTGTATCCCCGGTATCCCTGTCACCCCGTTAGAGATGTTCAGTGAGTCGTAGTGAGTTTTTAGTGAGATGGGGTCTTTGGTGGGAGGTGGTGCTTGGAGTGTCAGCTGACTTTCGTCCTTCATTGCCATTACCAATTATACCTATAGAAGTGAAATAGTTTGGAAATACTGACTATATCTCTTAACACAGGTATCATCCGTAACAATTTAATAGCCCTGTTGGGATTATATTAAATTGTACATTTTCCGTCTGAGCCAACTATGTTCAGTATGTACAGTATACATAAAAACTAATTAAACGATGTGTATCATCATTTAGCAGCTACAACGGTAAAGGAATGTGACAAAATTGCTTGTTACGCAGCTTGATGTGTCAAACACTAATTTAAAATAAAACCTTGGACCAGTTTAACAACAAACAAATGTAATTTCCAATGGATGTTGGTTGGTCCTACTTAGATGTTCTAGCTGTTTTAGCGCTAATTAGGTCGGTGGTTTACTGGCACAGATGTGAACAGTACATGTGCGCTGAAGTACTCTTAAAACAGTTTAATGATTACTTATTTATTGATGAGACTCATTTAACACACAAATACCAGCAAAATAAAGTGAAAACCAGCAAAATAAAGTGAAAATTAAAAATTATCATCATAACATAATATTATATCTCAAATAAAACCAAATAAATTACAAAACAGAATAATCTTCAGACAAATCAACATACCGATATTTGTAGCACTGAGAATTGTCCGTCCAATTGTCAACTATTGTACGCGAGTTCATGCCACTAAGTGACTAAGCATGATGTCAGTGAGAAAACAGATAAAGCTTATATATCTTATAATAATGTTTCGATATACATGTAACATGTTACAGCCAAACAAATCCGACTAAATGCACGTTTCACAAGTAAGATTGCACATTTGCCATTAGATGAAGCCGCTCTTCCGTTATATTTCATCTGAGTGAGACAGTAAGGTATCGATTAAGGTATCGATATCCGGAATACTTGAAACCTTTCTAGAAACAAGAACATATTTTATCGATTAAGTCACTCATTAGTCATTACAGGCAATCAGCCTTCTTTAGAGATTAACCTTGGACAATAAGTAATAACTTACTAAATTACAACTTACTATTACAATAACTTACTACTACAATAAGTAATAACTTGCTAGATTTTGATAAACCAGAATAATTTGTCTTTAAATTGCTCTCATAAGCTGATCACAAACACCCAATTCTAATTTCTATCTCTGAGCAAATAATTCAAAGAACTTTAGCATATCAAACAACCCTCCCTTGACTTTCTCATGAGTCAACAACTAACATTTTTCTGACCTTAAAACGCCAATTCTCTCTGAACAACGTGACATCTCACTTCAGGCTGGGGTGTTTCAGCCTTCAATTATAGATTTGTTCTCAGTGTTGAGTCTCCTGTTCCGACAAGTAAAAGCAGATAGCAGAGACTCACACTTGGCAATACTTAAACTCTCTTCTTCGTAGGCCACGTAGTAAGACTGAATCTGAAAATTCTTTCGTCAGAATGAGACATTACTGATTATTAAAGTAAACAAGTTCATGCAAGGTTCATAACATTTCTCACAAAAGCATCAAGAACGCTTTCTAATCGACCAATTAATTTCAATGCTATAGTAGATTTTCAGTAACGCGTTTGGAACTGTCAGTAACATACGGTTATATTATCTATGATTATGTTAAACTGTTTTAATATTGAATGGTCAAACCTTGTGTATAACGAGTATAACAATAGCCACAATGAGCAACCGTGAGTATTTATCAGCTCCGTCAGCATAGTCCTGTATCTCTTTAAGCTCTACCTCTGATAGCCTCTGTAATTATATTTGGTGACGTCATAATGTACTCAAATTAACTCAATAGTATTGCTTTAATAATACACATCACATTATATATCTTGTTGTTCACTTGGCCTGTTAAAGATGGTTGTACTACATTGATTGAGATTGGAACTTTGTAAACATGCTCATAAAAAGTTACTTTAGAGATAAGCTGTAAAACTGACAGAATATTGTTTAAGAGTTAAAACTAACCAGGAGAACAAGATGCCCCAATTCTCTAAACTTTTCCCCCACTGACGGGAACGTCTCTATAAAATACTTTCCCGCCGAACATATTATCCCCTCTTGTACAGATGCTAAAGTTTTTAGTATCCAGAGCAACGGTCCAGGTTTTGAAGCAGTGACATGTAAAACTGCTACAGACAGCCGGTGTAGCCAGTGTAATCCTGGGGTATTAGCTTTTTGTTACATGTTGTATTTATTGATGGTAATAATACCTTTTCTGTTCAACTATTTACAGTAGGTATCAATTCCATTGACATCATAATGGGGATGATGACACAATTTACGGTGGTAACTGTGCTAAATCTAAATTTAAATCTGCCATAATTGTATCTTTGTATTGTTATCGTAACCTCTCGTCAGACTAAACCGCTATAAAGTCAGTAGTTTTTTTACAAATGACTTGAGCAAGTGTTCCTACGTTCAAATATACTTCCCCAACTACAGGTAAGTAAACAAACTTAACTTGCTCATGTTATATCTAGTGAAGACAAGACTAACATTTCAAATGTACATTGTACAGTGAGTGTCTGTTTTGTGTAACCCCAGGACGTCCTGCCCCAGAATTTAAGGTTAAAGTAGTGGTGTAAAAGTTAAGGCTGGGTTTAAAGTTTAATGTTTCTGCTGCAGTTTCTGACTGGGTGGTGATGGAAATTATGGTTGATTTAAAGATTCTGTGATTAGACAGGATATCCTGGGGCTAGGCTGGAAAGCTTGAACCTGAAAGAGAACTAACCTAGCCAGGGTGAATGGTTACGTTGAAATCCTTGTACCAGTATCTCAGCTACAACATTACTCTCCTGTAGGATTGTAAGACCATGTATTGGGGTTTGTTGGTCTGTCTTTGCCTGCAAGATAAACTGATTAACATTTTGTTCTGTGTTGCAACAAACTGGAATTTTTCACCCACTGTAGAGTACAGAAATTTGATTTCAATCAAATTTTAACCTTGTGCACGACAACTTTCAAAGTTATGATTAATCTTATTGGATACAGAATCAAGCACACTACACACTATAACCAGTTTAACTGTAACGTTTTACCTGAACAACAGAACTGTCGTAATAGAATACAGAATAATTCTCAGCCATGAGGGAGAAGTTGTAACTCAATGAGAGGTAGAAATCTTTTGTTTTATTCAATGGGAGAGTGACAGGATTTTCAAGCAGCGACTGGTAAAATGAACCTGGATTGTTAACTGTAAACTTCTTATTTCTTTGGACTTCATACCAAGCCTCTTTTGATGCATAGAAAACAATAAAATTGCTTAATCCAGAAAGATGTAACACTTTTTAATAAGCATCAAAAAGTTCAGAAGAACAAACCTGAGTTGGTATCGTCATCAAATAACCAGTAGTTTATCTTTATAAGCTGCATAAAGTGGAAGTCATTGAGCTTGTCCATTGAAGTGTTGCTCACATATTCGATAAGGACACAATTTCTACCTGCATGATCCATAAATATCTCTAGTTCTTTGTTACATGTTGCAGGATTCTGAAGAGGTTGACATCATGAAGCTTGAATCTAATCTTATTAAAAACTGATACAAAATTGTCATGAATTAGATGACCATAGCATCTGTAAACTATATGCTTCTAAGCATTATAAAACACTTACATGGATTATGTCTGCTCGAAGTTGTTGCAGCCCTTGACCCATAGGAAGCTGACTAGGAGCCAAGAGTAGTTCATCCAAGGTGAATTTGTCGGATTCAATAAATAATAGAGTCAGGGAAGCCAAAGACGATATCAAGCCAGTAAAGGCTACCAGTGTCAAAAGTGAAAGGGTGTAACCTTTCAATGTTTTCAAAATGAAGTACATCCTGAGAAAGTTCAGATTATTTTTTGAAAGGTAGTCTAACACTGCACTGCACTTTTTTTTTATATACTCAACAAAGAAATGTCAAACAGTATATATACAATAAATTAAATCAAGTGATGCAATTGGCAGAGCACAATCGTAAATCCTGAGCAATAGATATCATCTATCCCTCGTAGCTCTTCTCCTCAGGTATCAGGTTGAAGGAGACATTGGATATAGGGGCAGTCCATGCCTTCTTTGCCTTTCCACGTACACCTCTAACTGCTACTAGCACACTCCTCATTATATCCATGCTCAGGCGTGTCCTGATGTTACACATCACCTGGCTGTAGTCCTCCTTTGTTTTGGTGGCTATCAACACAGCAAGTCTCCTTATGAAACGCTTGGCCTCCGGTGCCATTCCTCCTGTAGTGGTAAATACAAGGGGGACGAATGACCCTTTCTCCAATTGTAGCACTCGGTTCATGTACTGGTTCTTTTTCTCATTCTCGTGCAGAGTGTAGAGCTGTGGCATGGTCTTTCCTTGATATGTAGGCGATTTAGGATTGAAAATGCGCACATCAAAGAAAGTCCTCTCAAATGTGCTCCACACTCCTCTTGCTGATATATCAAGCCTAGCCTTATCAGCATTGTTGCCCTTTTGTTGGAAGTTGGCCGATTCTATATGTGTTAAAAGGGGCTCAATCCTCACATCCTTGGTCACCAGCCTAAGGTATTCAGCAACGGAGTCTCTCACGTTGTTATGACGGTAGTTCACATACCCCCCTCTCTTACAGTTGAGGATATGATTGTGATCATTCTTGGCTCCACAATCGCAGAATCTTGGGGTGTTAGGGATGTCCCAACCATACCGGAGATGAACAGCATCTCTGAAGTCTTGCTTGCTGTAAGCATACCCTAGCTGTTGAATGGGGAGACATGTTAGCCAAGCTCCTGACCCATGCTCTTGTACCAGCTGCAATGACTCCCTGGTATTCTCATCCACTTCACTCATTATCTCAGCAAGCTCCTTCTTCAAGCGTAATTCTTTAACTAACTTGAGGCAATCTACTCTGCCCTTTATCTTAATTTTATCCAACTTCATCAGGGATGTCTCCTGGTGATAGATAAGGTCAACCAGCTCCTCTGTTATCTTGAGTGACGTCTGGTATTCCTTCTCCGCGATCTCTACTGGATTAACAATACCAAGCCCCCCTAATCTTACAGGTAGCTCAAACATTCTCCTGTGCAGATCAGACACATTCCTACCAATAATTGCAGGGATGAACTTTTCTCTTATACACTTCTCCAATGGGATGAAGAGGTCTTTAGTGTCTTGGATGGTACGCATCACAAAGGTCCACCGATGACATAGGGCTTTGGTATACCCTGATAGGGCTGCCTGAGGTTCATCGAGGGCAATATCTGACAACTCTTCTACATCCTTCACCCATTTCTCTACTTTCTTTTTTACATATGTCTCTCTAGCCTCCTCTCCACCTATCACTGCTCCCAGATGACGCTCCCCATCACATGTGATCTCTATACCAGTCTCTCCAAATAAAAACGTGGCTGCTGGTAGTAGCGATTTTTCTTTTAGGATAAGAATAGTCTTCACTGCTTTAGGGAAGTAGCCTAACTTAGGACCGTTCACACTGAGTAAATCCCACCACAGCCGGAGTTTCTTCAGGGTACCTGCTGCTGCAGAGTCATCTGCATACCACGCTTGCATCAATTCTCCTAATTTTGTCACGCTGGCCCGGATGTTGATAAGAGGACGAATACCGATAGCATACTCTGCCATTGCTGCCACATCCCCTTGCGTTGCCCCTTCATCAGAGTAAATTATCTCACACGAATATGTGTCGTTGACAATGAGTTTGGCTGATTTCTGATATGTGTTTTTCAGGTATTGGTGAAACGGAGGACATAGCTGCCTGATGTTGTGAATAGCTGCTTTGCGATTAAGCCTGTTAAACGCATTATCAGCATCAACAAGAAGCACTGCCTCTGTCTTAGGATCTTCCCATGTCCTCTTAACTGCTCTGATGGATGCCTCAATGCCTGACTCTAGCCCAGCACATGACTGAAGAGGTCCTGCAGCCTCTTGTATATCATCCTTAATTACCCCAATAACCACCTTGCCAACAATACGCCGAAGAACCTCTCCTACCCCCACCGGCCGTACACCAGGATTACCTCTCTTATCGTCACCCTTATTTAGTGGTACCAGTCTACAGGCCACAAACTCATTCAGACTCTCTGGGTTAACATCCTCTACACACAAACGCTTTGCAAATTCAGCTATTGCACCGCAGAGTTGAAAAGGAAGTTTCCCATACGCTTTAGAGCACAAGATGTGCTTCCACCCATCTGCATCCAAATGGGTTGGGCCACCTGAGCCCTTAACATGAAGTGCCGCTTTCTCAACTAGCTCTGCCGATATTTCAGCAAATATCACCGACTGTGCCTGAGGCGCTGTTATAGGTAGAAGGATATCAGCTGGAGGTGTCTCAGCTTTAGGATGTTTCTCTTGTAATAGACTCTTTATCTTTCTATTTAATGTGTGTACCCCAACAACTGAGTCTTCGTTGTTGATGAGCTTCATGGCCTGACATACTTTACCCACCATCATTAACCTACTAAAGCCTTTCATTTTCGATGGATCTTCAGACTTTTTCCTTCGTTTTAGCTTCTCCTGGATGACACGAGCTTCATCCATGAGGGAATTGAGGTCGCCATCCTTCCACTTTTCTAGTCTATCTACCAGGTACTTGGCATTGTCTCTAGCTTTTGACTTAGATGAAGGCTTCTGTAACATAATAGGGATAAATATATGGACTAGCTGCAATGAAAGACTCTCCCAGGCCGTTTTATTCACAAAAAGGTACAAAAGTCGTGTCAACTCTTTGATAAACTTCTCCCCACTCTTACCCCTTGGCACCATAAACAAATTCCTACACCACGTAATAATTTCATCATATATCCCCGTAAGTTCTGACCGTATACACCCTTCCCCAACCATGGTACCCCACGTCAAATTATTAGATCTATTCAACTGGCAGCAGTCACAATACCATTCATCATCTTCACTGGTTTTATGATCCTCATACTCTTCATCACTCATACACAAGCAGGCCTTATGAATCCAAACCTCGCACTCCTCACACTGCAAAGCATCTACATGCCATTCAACTCTGGTTTTACATATAGGACATATGTCATCTATCTTCTCCTTCTCATTTGGTCTACATTTTTTCTTCTTATCAACTCTTGTTTTATGATTGATGTTTACTTCTAGGACTTGAGGTCTATTTAACAAGGGTTTCTCTGTTCTGATGTGGCGCCGAAAGTCATATCTCGAAGAAGATGATTGAGGTTTGATAGAATTGGTTGAGTTTAATACTTTCTGATTATTAGGATTTGGGGAGGCCATATTGGGCGACATAGGTTCATTGGACATAGGTTCGTTAGTACTTTCTTCTTCAGCTTGTCCGTTGGTCTCTACATGTTCTGTACTGGCTGGGGCACTATCAGTGTGCCCCGTTTGCCCGTCCTTGTTTGCCATCCCTGAACTCAAATTATTTGTTATATAGTAGTGTTGAAAGTATTAAAACTGCACTGCACTGGTTATGCAACTACAAATAGCTCATTGGTTGACTTGGCAGGAAAATTGGGAAATCTTGATTGAGGGTCGAATGAGGAGAGTATCAATGTGAATTATTTCAGAGATCAATATACACAGATAAACTCAGCAGGGTTAATCGTTAGACACCCTCACGAATTAAATTACATTAATAAGTTAAATTGTAAAAATCTGAATAAAAATCTGAGTAAGAACCCCTTGAAAATTCAGTGAACAAGCTCTTAGTTCATGTCTAAGTCTGTTATTTTTACAAATGATTTAATATCGGGTATTATCTTCAGTACATATACATACATTGAACTACAGTGAAGTCGCTTTTATTCAGAGCTAGCTTCCACTTCTTGCACAAAACGAGCTAATTAATTAAAAGTTGGGGGAGGTAAGAAGAGGCCCGATATATAATTGAGGTACCAAATATTATAGAGAGGTATGGTGAGGTAAAAAGGGGTTTGGCTGTGTATTAATACCAACCATTAGTTATTGCGATCACAAACAGCTGGTAATAATTTCAAGGTGGCGCTCGATTCTTCGAACAATTTTAAAACGCGTGGTTCTGCTTCAAAAGGTTTTAATTAACTTTATAAATTCGATAATTTACCAAAAATGAAACAATGTTGTTTGTGAAAAGTTTTAAAACTTCACACAATGACAAGTTTGTTAACATAAAGCAAAACGTTTGCTTCAACAATAAAATAAAACAAAAATAAATAATGAATAACATAACTGAATTATTTAAAGCGCGCTATATTTTTATCAAAATCACATTTAATTTGATACTTATGAAATAATTTAAACACTTTTATTATAATGATTTTAGTTTGAAAGAAGTTGTTGTAATGCGCGCATTTGGAAATTAGTGTTGTCTCTTCCAGTTAAAATTAAATGTTTAATTATAATTTACTAACAAATTATTTTATAATTATACATTAAATTGAATTTTAAATAGAAATGTGAATATGTTAAAATTTAAAACTTTCAAAACGGAGGCTTATAAATATTATTATATTATGATTGTAAAATAAAGGATAAAATTTTAAATTTGTTTCACAAAAATTTGTTTCACTTTAAAAAAATTAGCTGTTCATGTTAAAAATTTATTGGGCGGCGTTCAGCTTGTCATTCTGCCAAATTTTTACAAACGCGATAGCCTAAGGTCCCCAGGTAAGTTGAAGATTTTCATTCATCCTTGTAGCGCAATGCACAACTTAACTGGGCCGCGCCGCGCATCCAATAATGCTTTTTGCAACCTCTCGCAATTTTCCGTAACCTATCGCAATCTTTGTTAGATTGGCAAAATTCATTATTGGGTCACGCCGAGCTGTGAAGGATTGCAATTGACATCGTCAATTAAAAAATTTGCATTTAAAATTTAAATTATAAGATCACAACTTCGGATCACTTATCTGTAACGCGCCGCGCACATTACTATACTTGCTTTGCTTAGCTCAATCAGTTACAAATTATTGCAAAGCCTAGCTACAAACAAATCATCAATGTTTATGTTATTTATTATAAACGTGAACAAACTGTTTATATATGTCGAAATTTCAGATATGACTATATTTCTAATAGTATATTTGGTCCGTAAGGTGGGACCATATCAATTGCAATTGTGTCATAGAGGGGGGGTAGTGAAAATAGTTTCAATGAAACTCGTTTATTCAGCAAACATGGAGAATAACGCTCCTTACAGCTCGATGCACTGTTTTAAGTGACTTCCAGGTATTTGAAACTGAGATGCAAGCAAGTCAGCTTAATTCTGACCCATTGATGAGGCATCAAATACTAAATAATGGTCAGAGGCGGCTCGTGGGAGCTGGCTGGCAGTTTTGTTGGGGGTCCAATCGATGGACTGGGGGGGGGGGGGGGGGGGGAGGGGGCTTGGGAGCCGGCTCAAGCTGATCCCTCCAAACTACCGATTACATTACACACAGGGCCTTGTAAATGTAATGTGTAACACTTTACAGGCGACAGCAAACAAAAAACAAAAACTTATAACATGGGTGAAACAGGACACCACACGTGTACGATCTCAGCCGCGCAGTATCATATAGCAGTCAAATTGCAAAGGGTCCTGGACCCCCAAATCGAGGCAAATCATAATAGATTACCTGTAGTGGGATGCGCACGATGTGCTTTGTAACGTTTACAATTAACTATGTGTTAAAACTGCGCGGCTGAGTAGTAGGGTGAGAATCCCTGCCACGTTTTTGGTCAATTTCGCCGGGGCTCATGTCTTTCCTCGAGGGAGCATTAGTGTCTACAGAAAAACTGACAAATCCTAGCGAAGTCCAATCCGAACCACATCTTCCATCAGAGGTGGTGCTGGGTCAGCTGGTTACTGAACGGATTGGCCTGGAGAATGGCATAGTCCTGTTACTCTCAAGTTAACCATAGAGGGGGACAGGCGCTGTTTGCTCACGGCTGGTTCTTGGTGCCAACACCCTCAGCCCCACATAAGTGGGAGCACTGTCGGTGGTGGCTCACCCAGATAACGGACAGTGTCTCTCCTTCTTTCTTCTTGGACTTGCATTGTTGCTGGCGAGTCAGCCAGTAGCAATGCAGCATCTCACTCACTCAATCACCTCAGCAATTCGGTCCTTTTTTTCATTTGCATTACTTTCGCTCATTCTCCTGTCATAATGCATTCTCTGCTACCATAATGCCTTTCTTACCACGGTGTGTTACACCTTGCGTCTTTCTCTAACACCATCACCATTTCAGCAACCTTGGAATTTTAACCCTACACAGGTACACAGCACTATGGATATCCACTCTCCACTCTACAGCGAACACAAAGCTAGAGATCTAATTAGGATTCGAGTACCCCGGATACCCTTGTGACATACATACGTGGAAACCAGTTTAAGCAGCAGTACATCAACACAATGGATCAGCACTACGAAATCTGATATCTGCATCATAATACTCCGATCCAGAAATCTTCGCTAAACCATCACATGAGATGAATAACTACAAGTTGGACTCCACATAACATTATTCCTTGTTATGATCAGTCAATAAAATATGTAATCTGCATCAATTTTCCGATAATCACATCTTCTTACCAGTTTATTTTCCCTCTCAGGGCTGGAACGCAATGTTACAGCCCACCTTATAAATTACTAAAACCTGAGTTATTCCAGATTGACGACTTGACACAGATATTCAGCAGACAACCTAAATAAGGGACTCCCACTCTCCGAACCAGTAGAGATCCAATCACTGCCTCCAGGCTCCAGGTTACCCCTTCATCCGGTATTAGCAGTTCCTCCACCACCACCAGGTTAGAACACTCCCACTAATCACCCCTAAAAAAACGAACCTACCGCCTTGCTCCACCAAACACAACTACAATCAAATCCATTTTCTCAAACCGGTAAAATCCGTCCTTCAAACTTCCCGCATTAAACGTAACGCGCGAACGCCATACAACTCAAGGATGTAGCAACATAATAGCTGTCATTTAGTGCGCGCGCCCGAGATTGCGCAAAAATAAACTGCGACGTACTAATCCACATACTTGAAACTCCAGGTTGATCAAGATTAGTAAACTCAAGGAAGATGATACCAGATCAGTCCCGAACTTCGCCTCAACATCATACCCTGCCTAGTGTCGATAAAGAGGATTCACAAACAAACGAGATTCATTTACAAATATTTATTATCACTTTCTACAATTGCAGCTCTTCGTTGTTTTAATTATCGCCATCAACCATGAATATATCGGAGAAGACCCGATAACAATTTATCAACTCATGCGTCTTACTTCATTAACAAAGAAAAATGACTTAACTACTACTATACTACGAACTATGAATCTTAACCATGCTACTATAAATATTTATGTTACTGGGCCGCGCTCAGCCTGTCATTCCGCCAAATCTATATGTTAATGAACATAATAGCCTGGGGTCCTCAGGTAAATATTTATGTAGCGTGAAACTCAATACTTATAAAGTAACAGCACAATCATAACCCACACATCACCTTCGCACAAATCAGCTATTCCCCATTCACTCACGAACGTCGACATATCTCCCCATGTACACCTGTAAATTTGAACGGCCCCCCGCGATTCGGAGCAGGTGAGCTACCTGGTTCGGGCTATTTCACTTATCAGAGTACACTAGCACCACAATACAATCGACTCAAGCCCTCAGATTTGCACGCATCCATCACCGTCACAGGGCCGGCTGTCCACATCCTGTAAAATCCTGATTCTATACGCTCGCGGGGTCTATTACCTGTTTGAGCTCTATTATTACGCGCGCGTGCCCAGTGTACAGCTCACCGGCCTGCGTTGTCCACTGGACATGGATGTCGCCTACATGACCCTCTAATCTAAAAGTAGGTTGAGGGCACCACAGCGGGCCTAGCGCTGCCCTCTGTCGACATACATACATACATACATACATAGTCCGGAGGTAGGATTGGACTCCCTACAACACAAAATTTCACGAAGATCATGCGTGCCAGCGTGCGCTTACATTAAAACGTATGATAGTAAATGAAGACCTTTATATTGCGATTTGTTATTTCCTAACACTATTAGTTATTACTAATTACTATTTCTATTTTAAGCACCACTCACCAGTCACCAGATAATAATTTTAAGGCGTCCACGGACGCCTGGACGCCCTCAATAGCCGCCTCTGATAATGGTAAAGAGACCGGTTCCTCCCAAAACCTAGTTTTAGAACCTACTTAGATGTCAGACTTGGGTGAACCATGTAGCTGTTAAGATATATCAACTTATTTGATATGTGCAGTGTGCACGCATTTTACATGAGTTACTGATCATACTCAAATCACAACCACCATGCAAATAAGCAGATAGCATACTAGGAGTTTTATCCTCGATGGGCAAGCAATAATTGGACGTTTCTCGTCATTCTGACGTTTATCGTACGATAGAGAGGCGAGAAACGATTATCGTGCGAATATCGACGTTAATCGTCGGGATGTATAATAATTGCGCGCAGCAGACGATTATCGTCGATTATCGTCAAACTGCACGATTAACGTACGATTATTGTGCGCGACTAAAATCTGCGAAATGGCCCATATTTTCCACTGTGAGCTCCCCCCAGAAACTGCCGATGTCTATTCACCGATGACTGCATACAATACCATTACCATAGCGATAGCAGAGAGTTAATTAATTAATTAAATTATTCCAACGTACATTACAGTTACACACAGGCCACAGTGCTTCATGTATGTAATGTGTCACATGCGACTGCAAATAAACAAAAACAAAAACTTATAACATGAGTGAAACAGGACACACACGTGTATGATCTCAGCCGCGCAGTATATCATAACAGTTCAGATTGCAAGGTGTCCTGGACAACCAAATCATATAGATTACCTGTAGTAGATGCGCTTGATGTGCTCAGTGGCGTAACGAAGGGCCCCGCTGACCCCGCTGTGCGGGGGGGGGGGGGGGGGGGGGGGGGGCGCCGTCTTAGGGGGGTGCCAAATCGTCGTTTGAATGTGGGACAATTTCGAAAACTTAACTAAAGTTACTTACTTGGGTTACTTGGGTAACGCAACTTGGGCGCCAACAGGCAACGTTACGCCACTGGATGTGCTTTGCACCCGTTTACAATTAACTATGTGTTAAAAGTAAAATACAATTTTTTCGGCGCGTCTTAGTTGTCCAAACAAGGATTGGACACCCTACAACACAAAATTTCACAATGATCATGCGTGCGCTTACATTCGAACGTTTGAATGAATAGAGAGCTTTATATTGCGGTTAGATATTTCTGAATACCATTACTAATCACTAGTTCTATTTTCAAGCACCAGCCACCAGATAATAATTTTAGGGCGCCTGGATGCCCTCAATAGCCGCCTCTGGATCGGGCTAAATGAGCAGTAATCTGATTGATTTTTGTGCTGAAATTTATAACACAGATTCTGGAGTATTAGTCTACGAACTGAGGCTGGTTATTAATATAAGTCACTTCGTTGCCTTTTTGGGAAACCCTGCAGTCATTACACTTAGTACAGATTTTGATATTTCATGCAGAATTCTGCCATGTATTAGAAGAACCCAAATAGATATTAGTTTACAGCATACCCAACCTCATTTAGAAATTTAAGTGAGTGTTCCCATTGGTCAACTGCTGGGGTCGATTCCTAATAGTAACTTCATGAAGAGACCCAATCAACAGTTCATACAGCATTAAGCATGTAACTTGAACCAATATAACAAGTATGCACAAATTTATGATATTTTTCATCTTAGGTGACAGAGTAAATGACGAAATATAAAAATGTTCTGATAGCTACTGGAATTATTGTTCTTGGATACCTTCTACGACATGCTTTGAAGCAAAAGTTTCACATCCCACTAAAATCTACTCCTAATAACATTGCTCTCAACATAACACTTATAAGCACCAACGATTTACACAGCTCATTCAGTGGATTGGGTTTAAGGTCCTACCCTGAGCAGATAAGTGGAGGATATAGCAGACTTGTTACACTGATAGACTCAGTAAGGTAAGGAATCCAAATTTATTGTTAATGTCAACTTATATTAGTAGATTTTCTATGATAGGCTGATATGTAATATTAATAATCAGTTAAATTATTAGCTATTTTAGATGATATATAATAATATTATGATCAGTTCTGACCTTTCACTGTTGTCTCACACGAATCTATTATTCAGATCAAAAAAGATCGAAGAGGATGACATTGTTTTGACATTGGATGCTGGAGATTGGTATTCTGGAAGCTTGTTTGATCATATAGGAGCTGACACAAGAACTTCTTCAGTGCCTCAAATGCAATTTTTTGATGCTGCTCAGTTTGATGCAATAATATTTGGAAATCATGACTTTGACCGATATGAAATTGCATTATTTGCCATGTTGGACAAAGCTCTGAAATTGCACCTGAATATTAATGTAATTGTATCCAATCTTCTGACTTTATCAATGGAAAGTAAATTTCAGCAGTTCTACGATCCTACTTCAACTGTTAGATTCCTGCCTTATCTGATCAAAGAAACCAGTCGTGGAAAGGTGGGCGTCCTTGGTTACATAACACCAGATGCCTTATTTGTAAGTAATGACTACCGTGACGAATTGCAGTTTCTGGGATACTCCCATAAAGACGGTATTCAATATGATAAACTCTTAGAACTCGCTGCTGAGCAATCTGAAATGTTAAAGAAAGAACTGAAATGTGATGTTGTTGTGGCAGTTATTCATGGTGGTCACAAAGATAAGGAGGATATCGGTTTTCTTAATCTGCCCAATATAGATGTAGTACTTGGAGGACACTCCCATGAGTCATATTTGCATGCTTCAGATGATTCATCTCTTAGCAGTCAGTGTGGTTTTGGGGGAATGTCACTCACTGCGTTAAGTTTTGGGGTGGACTCTGACAAAGAGCTCCACTTTAGAGGAGTAGATGACGAATACCAACAATTTGTCGACAAAGAGTATCCTCAGTGCATCAAAGTCAGCAGTAAGTTCACGTCTGATGTGGCTTTTGAGCAAAAAGTTAATCTCTGGAAAGGAGAAATCAACAATTTGCTTGATGTGGAAATGGATAAGGTTGTTTTCCAAGGAGATTTATCATCGCTTCTACAACTGTCGATGTCCCATGCTGAGATGGCAATTTCATTTGCTCACATGCTGGTCAGTGAGTTTAACAAATGGGGGGCAATAAAGAAGCCAGACTCAGATCCAGTCATCGCTACTTTCTGGAACAGAGAGTTTTTTGAAATAGACGAGCTGACCCAGTCCATGTCAGATGTGGCTATAACTTATGATGATGCATACAACCTAATATTTTTCCCTGCCCTTAAAGATCTGTACACTTGTTACATGACAAAAGAGGAGCTGTATTACATCCTGCAAGGAACATTTATTGTAAGAAAACTTGTCAGCCCCCTATTGTATATTGATGCTGGAGGTATCGTGTACACCGAATCAAATTACTTTGGCATACCTTTTATTACTGATCTTAAAACAGTTGATGGTTTGGAATATTCAGATTGGCCTCCAATGGTTAAGGTCCTTGCTAATTCCATTTCTGCCCCTTATTTGTGGAAAATTGATACGTGGACCAGAGGGTTTATACAAAATTTTCCAAAAGATAAGATTGGAAATCCGATGCTGATGGATGAAGGATTAGAGGTGAACTCGCCAAAAGAACTGGGCTTGTTTATAAATTATCTTGGTAGCCTCAATGAGACCTTAGCTTGAACATTCGTGTGCTCTCAAACATTCAACTGATTTGTGATTAAATAGGCTCATTTAGTTAAAATAGTCTCTTGAGTTCTAGTGCTTTGATGGCACAAAAAATCAGTCAAGGTGCAATACTACAATATCCTTATCATATCCGATCACTTTTATTTATTAATTTTTTGATTTATTTTATGTTAAAATTTATGCATGATTTTACCTGAAATCCTTTACTGCTTGCTCTGTGTTATTTATCATATCATACACTTTCATACAATAAACCCATAATTTTCTGACTAACATGATGAAAACAAAAGTTGCATGGGCAGCTAAATGTAGGAACCTTTTACATTTGTTTACGAATAAAACCAGTTATTTGGGGACCTGGTCAATCAAAAGCCAGTTCATCAAAGATCGGTAAATTGTGGCTTTACTCTACGTTACCTGCTTGAATACTTTCATTTATAAAGAGTAACGCCATTTTTGAAAGTGAGGAGTGTTAGGACTCCTTCAACTACATTAAATCAATTCCTTCTGTAACATCCTGAATAAATATAGTTACGAAAACAAAATTTACTAAACATTTTAAAACATTACTGAACACCAAAGTTATATTACTAATGCGAAGATACAACAAGACCAAATAATAATAAATCAAAACAAATATCAACATAATATAACATTTATTATATTATGCTATTTTGTAATACGGTAATATCACACATTTGAATTAAAACTCAAATAATTTATTTTCATCTCCATACTTATGCTTTACACCTGGTGTTATATACAATTATATAAATTCAATGGATATGGGCAAGGATCGACCGCGACTGAAATCCTTCTTTGGATCAGATAAGGACATCCAATCAGCGACGAAGACGATGATTATATTTAACAATTGCAAAGCTTTAAAATTTCATAGCTTTGTTGATCCCTTCCTTTTAAGAATCTCTGTGAATGATAATATTTGTAACTGCTATTGTTTCTACTTGCCATTGTTCAAATTATTGTAGGGAAGACTTGTGGAATTAAGGGACAGCAGTCTTACACAAATAATGCCAACAATACCACCTTTAAATTTTAAGAACAATAGACCTGCACATATTATACCCTCTTCAAGATCCATCAGCACCAGTCAGCGTTTATTATTGATACTTTGATAATGTTTTCACGCTGTCAATTGTATATTATATCTGATCCCGGTCGATCCTTGGACATGGGTAAAAATGGGGAGGTAGTTTTGTCATACAGTGGCACTAGTTAGTGGATTTTATCGAATCATACTGTGACCTTAACGTGTATTAATTATAATCGCTCTCAAGTGTCATTTGACTTACCTTCTCCTGTTCTGCTACATATCTGACTTGACATAGATTGAAATGTTTACTGAACTTTTAGACATTTCAAATATCCTGAAATCCTGTTATTGTTATTAAGATAAGATGATATGTATTAATATTATAATGTTCTGTAATTTTCGTTTATGATTTTGTGATTTGTAACTGCTTTTAAGTTATTCTCTTTCTTCTTGTGTACCATGATATCGTAGTTGTACTCAAAACCTGTCCCCAACATATACAACAACACGTGTCTTCAAAGTTTTGGTCGATCAGTTTTCCGCTTTGTTTTCCAACTCTAGTCTTTAATATTAGACATCGGTTAAAACATCATCGTCTTTCCAGATGAACAAATATGACCCTTCAAATTGCTGATTTATATTGTGGTACTGGATGGGTGAATCAAATGGTTTGCTAAATGAATCAGAGGACTTAGAAAATCTTGTAAGTACTGAGGATGAACTTGAGGCTGAGCGGAAGAACATTACTCTTTGGAGAAGTCCTCTGAAAACATTTTACTATTTTGGCTGGCAGACGTTTGATGAACTTTGTAAAGGTTTTAAGTTGTAAGTATTTAGTCTCGTGCCCCCCCCCCCCCCCCCCTCCGGATCTCGTGTGTTTTGTTTTTGTTGATTTTAAGTCCACACATTACACTAGTTACCCTTACCTCATACTATTAGAAGCTATCCAGACTGCATCTTTGCACAGTAGATAATAACCTTTTCTGCTATAAATACATTGAAATTACCCTATTTTTATGATAAGCCCCCTCACTCCTACAGTGCAAAGCTGCACAAGTTAAATATAGCGGTGACGGCTGGGGTGACTTTAGCAATCTTACTGTTCCTCAACATCCCTGGAGCTCAACAAAAGGTCAGTTGATCCAACATGTGCGATATTGAACAATACTGAGTACTATGATAATACTGAATATATTAAAGCTTTGTAATACGCACAGTCACTACTGCTGGTGTTTTACAAAATTTGTGTGATCTTGGGGGGGGGGGGGGGGAAGGGGGGATATATTGGAGACTATTATCTTATGATATTAGGATGCAGTGAAACTATCGGACGACGGACTACGATGTATGCCAACCCTGACCCCATTGGAAAAATTAAAATATATCGACTCTGTTACATCGCTTTCTGTTAATATAAAACTCCGTAACAAACTGAATTGGGATATTATTTGTGGCCCATACCAACCTCAACTCCCTAAGTCGTAATCTCTGTCCCGAGACATGTTTTTTTTTTCTTTACCGCTGATGTTGCCCTGGTATGGTTGGACAGATAATAAAAATGACTTTCAAATAAGATTCCCTGAAATGTGGTATTTGGTTACCTATTTTCTAGTCTTCTGCAAACATTAGGGGTTGCAAAACAGCAACAATTGAATTAACAGTGGAATGTTACAGTACGTGGTGTGGTTAAACAAGGAGATCTGGTGGAGCGTCTGGTGGGTTGGGCTGGGGATACTCTCTACTGTAGGACTGGGAACTGGACTACATACCTTCATTCTCTACCTGGTAACTATATTATAGTATTACATACCTTCATTCTCTACCTGGTAACTATATTATAGTATTACATACCTTCATTCTCTACCTGGTAAATGTATTATAGTATTACATACCTTCACTCTCTACCTGGTAACTATATTATAGTATTACATACCTTCATTCTCTACCTGGTAACTATATTATAGTAGTACATAGCTTCACGCTCTACCTGGTAACTATATTATAATACTACATACCTTCATTCTCTACCTGGTAACTATATTATAGTATTACATACCTTCATTCTCCACCTGGTAACTATATTATAGTACTAGTGTAACCCGGCCTTCGGCCGGGATTTCACTGCCGCAGTTAAAAAGGGTAGGAGTAATTACCCGCTGAGTCAAAACCCGCATTAGGTGACCCAATTTCTTAAACAATAATCTCATAATCAGTTATTTCTTGTGGATAATTAAGTCATTATTAGCCAGGCCATGAGGCACCACACTCCATGATCATAAGGTCTGAACACCGAGTATTACACCTCATCACTCCCGTCTTTTTAAACCGCTTTCTATTTTTATTTAAATCGTTATAGAAATTAACTCTTGTATTGTTAACTCCGCACCACACCCGCATATTATATTTGAAAACACGCATAACATTGTCGTATGAACTCTCTCTCTCTGCAGTCCAAACAGACCCCAAACGCTAACAGTCCTCCTCCCCTAATAAGCTTATGGTATTACATTACAGCGAATCTTCCCGGGCTAACGCAATTATGACGCTACTTAAATGCAGCTACATATTATACAGTAATGAGATATAGAGAGCAAGCCCCGTAACTCTTGCCATTCTGCTCAAGCCATTTTATGCAACATTTGTGGTACAAAACCGTCAATTAAACCACTTACCACCGGCCGATTTAAAAAACATTTGCTTATGGGCTTCATCAGAGTTTTGTCGGCACTTTACCGAAAAAACCAGTCCCGTAACTCTTACCGTTTTTTTTTGTATAACCGTTCGGAAATTACACACAGACAGACAGATAGACAGACACACACACACACACACACACACACACACACACACACACACACATTCTGGTGTTATCAAGTTGATGTTATTAAGGTGATTACATACCTTCATTCTCTACCTGGTAACTATATTATAGTAGTACATACCTTCATTCTCTACCTGGTAACTATATTATAGTATTACATACCTTCATTCTCTACCTGGTAACTATAATATAGTATTACATACCTTCATTCTCTACCTGGTAACTATATTATAGTATTACATACCTTCACTCTCTACCTGGTAACTATATTATAGTATTACATACCTTCATTCTCTACCTGGTAAAGTTATATTATAGGACTACATACCTTCATTCTCTACCTGGTAACTATATTATAGGACTACATACCTTCATTCTCTACCTGGTAACTATATTATAGGACTACATACCTTCATTCTCTACCTGGTAACTATATTATAGTATTACATACCTTCATTCTCTACCTGGTAACTATATTATAGTATTATATACCTTCATTCTCTACCTGGTAACTATATTATAGTATTATATACCTTCATTCTCTACCTGGTAAAGTTATATTATAGTACTACATACCTTCATTCTCCACCTGGTAACTATATTTAAATAGGACTACATACCTTCATTCTCTACCTGGTAACTATATTGTAGTAGTACATACCTTCATTCTCTACCTGGTAACTATATTATAGTAGTACATACCTTCATTCTCTACCTGGTAACTATATTATAATACTACATACCTTCATTCTCTACCTGGTAACTATATTATAGTAGTACATACCTTCATTCAAATTCTAAATATTTTTTGGCGCTTCGCGCCAAAGCCTGAATTTCGAGGGTAAGGACAAAAGGAAATTGCAGCATTTGCGGTATCGCAATTTTTCACGTTTGCCGCGATATTTTTGGCTCATAATGATCAGGGTAGCATGAAACATGAACAAAAGTAGTTTCCAGAAAAATTTTGACTTAGAAAATTTTCGGTCCAAGTCATTCTCGATACGTACTTCTGAAAGCAGATCTCTCGCTTCCGAGCTCGTATTGCGAAGGGGAGGCCTGCCTTCCGAGATCGCATTACAAAGGGGAACCCTCGAGTCCAAAATCGTATATCGAACTTCGAAAACCGAAAAAGATATTTTTGGCTCATAATGATCAGAGTAGCATGAAACACGAACAAAAGTAGTTTTCAAGAAAACTTTGAAAATTTTTGACTTACAAAATTTTTGACTGAAAAAAATGTTGACTTTAAAATTTTCGGGGGAAAAAAATTGTTCCCAAAAATTTTTAGAAGCCTAAATTAAAAAGTTGGCCCTTTTTGGCCCCTTGCCCAGATTTCATGGGGGGGGGGGGGGGGGGGGGGGCGATGGCCCCCCCCCCTGCCCCCCCCGCTTCCTACACCCCTGAGTATTGCTATCTCCTCCGTGTATTGCAACTCTCTCTCTCTCTCCACCAGGGTCCACACATAGCCCAAGTAACCATGGCAGCATGGGAGTGTAAGAGTGTAGAGTTCCCAGAACCTCCTTATCCAGATGTTGTGATATGTCCACCAGAAGGAACCTCTCTCATGCACGTGGATATGTGGGTTATCATGTCCAAAGTTAGATGGGAATCACTCATGTGGGTAAGTCATTTAAGATGAAAATGTTATAATAAATAATTGTAATTTCCTTTTTAAATAAGTATTTATAGATTTACTAACCATGCATCCAAAAGGAAGGATCATGACGTTTGTAACAAGAGAGGATGTAATAAAAGAAGGAGACACAGTGATAGTGAGAAGAGAGGGTACTCTTGAACCTCTTGTGGTAAAGCGAGACGCTCAGTACCAACTTACAGCTGGACTATTCAGACACAACGACATCATGGGTAAACCTTTTGGTTGCAAGATGTATTCCCACAACAAGAAGAGCACTATAACCCTGCTTGCACCCAGCCCTGAGCTGTGGACCCTTTCTCTGCCTCACCGGACTCAAATCCTTTACGCTAGTGATATCTCTCTGGTATGTCTAATGTTGGAGTTGTCTCCTGGCAGTGTGGTAGTGGAGAGTGGTACTGGTAGTGGCAGTTTAACTCACGCGCTAGCACGTGCTGTGGGGGAGTCAGGTCACGTGCACTCTCACGAGTTCCACAAGGAGCGGAGTGAGGTGGCTGCTGTGGAGTTTAAATCTCACGGTCTCGACCAAATTGTTTCTAGTTACCATAAGAATGTTTGTGAGGACGGTTTTGCGGTGCAGGACGTTGCTGATGCTGTGTTTTTAGATCTGCCCTGTCCGTGGGATGCCATTAAACACACTATCTCTGTGTTTGGTCCTGACGGAGGGAGGATATGCAGCTTCTCACCTTGTATTGAGCAGGTTCAGAAGGCTTGCTCTGCTCTGTCAGAGGAAGGGTTCGAGGAAATTCAGACATTTGAGGGAATAGAACGACAGTACCAGCTGAGTCGGAAGAGAATTTGGGAGCCTTTTGTTGGAAACGAGCGACACAAGAAGTTCCGCTCAGATCAGAGAAGTGGGGACAAAGCTTGTAATGGGTGGTTAAATGCGTATGTGAAGGGCGGACCAAAGAAAGATGGAGTAGGTCACACTGGTTACTTAACTTTTGCTACTCTTCCAGCTAAAGATTTTGTTCAAAATATAGTTTTGGAAAGTAAAGAGGACGTTCAAATGGCCGAGACGGAGAAAAGTGAAAACAGTTAATTTTAATCCTCAAATTTTTATAACTTTCTAACCTGTTTTAATTTTTAATTTATTATTCATCAAATGATAGTGTATTTTAGCTGTATTTTATCCACAGTCGGGGAATCATTGTTTTACTGCGTCTCCTATATATTATATCTAGGTTAAACAAGCCAGAAATTCTGAGAAATAACATAATATTTTTAAGCCCTACTTTATGATACCCATCAAATCCCGCATTCACGCTATTACCGAAAATATTTGACACCTGAATATAATATAGACCTGATATGTTTTTCGTGTGATATTGATAACAGCTACATTCCATAACATTGTGTTCTTGAAGTAAAAGAGCGTGTTTCAGGGTATTGGTACAGCAATAGGAGAGTTACCACCCTACTTCATGGCTAGAGCTGGTTAGTTTGATATTTCACTGTTTCCTGCCTTAGGAGTAGAATTATTGTTATAGGGTCCGAGACTTTCTTGATTTTACAAATCTGTATAGCTAGTCAGAAATTTTACTGTTAACAAAGTATTAATTTAAAGCCGTATTTTAAAGCCGTATAATATTGAAGCTGAAATACCAATTGTCTAGTACATTACTATTACTTGTCTCACCGCTTCACGAATCAGCACATTACTCACAGCAAAATAACACAACCACACTTTTCAGCCAGGCTATCAGGTAACGAGATGCAAAATAACACAACCACACTTTTCAGCCAGGCTATCAGGTAACGAGATGGACGACAGCTCATATACCGACCTTCAGAGAGTAAAAGACCCTTCTACTCTCAAATGGGGAGATAGATTTAAACGGTGGATACAAAACTTTGTACAAAGTGCCGGCTTCATTGGTATTCTAATCTGCGCTAGCGTAAGTAGTAATGTGACACAATGTTTCGAAATAGTTCTGTTTACATTGTGTTATTGTAATATTCTACATTGTGTTGAGACTATATTCTTTGAACAATTGCACCCGCTCTATTGAATTTTAATGCGGCAATGATCAAAGCCATCTCGCAGCTCACAACCATTAAAATAGGGTTACACTAAAAAGAGCAGATGTTGTGCAGGTACTCACTGTGTAGGACTTAGTATTTCCCTGGCCAGATTACTTGAGCGGACACATCTAGTCAGCATTAATATTTGGAATGTAATCTTATCCATTGCAATAGCTGTTTTGTGTAACAGAAGCTGTAACACGTTCAATGTCTGGTCTACTAAAAATGAGGCTGTGTTATAATGATCCGATGATTTATTAAGATGTATGTACAGTGGTTTTAACTATACTACTATGTCAGAGCGGCTGACTGTGAGTGATGTGAGCTTGGGCAAATGTATATATGCGAACAAACGTATTTAACACATTACAAGACAAAAGTAAAACATATTTTATTGTAAACCACAACAATCTAAGTAACAGCAGAAACTGTACAATTTATTGTTGGTATAAATAAAAGGTAGTACAGTGCAATAACTTATCAGTCAAGACAAAAAATAAATCCTAGTAAGTACCTATATAACCATTAACCAATGACATCAATATTTACCGATAAATTGCTGTATAAAATGTGACTTTATTTACATTATTTATTTACATTATTTATTTATTTATTCATTTACCGTCACATGGAATGGTTTGATGCATAATTTCTAAACGATGTAATAAAGTTACACTCCGGAAAAAGTGGACATTAAATTCAAATTCTCAATTTTCAAATCCTCAACTTTCAAAGCATTATAATTGAAACATTTCCAGACTCAAATACTAAACACATAATTGGTACAGTCCATCAAATATGTGTGTATAGTTTCCAAACGACTGGTATGGCAGTGTAATGTATTTCCCTGATTGCGGCGTGTCACATCCCCGCAGTAGTGTACAGATCACCACTCTCGCTACTTACTCCTCATCTCTCATCTCCAGTAATTTATGTGACCTATTTTTATCTAGAGCTGCAGTTATCGACTACACTGCCAATTATTTTATGTGACCTATTTTTATCTAGAGCTATAACAGTGATCAGCCACACTCGAGCTACCTGAATACTTATAATAGAGTTCAGATTTAGCTCCTCGTGTTACAACTCTCTCTCTCTCACTCTCTCTCTCTCTCTCTCTCTCTCTCTCTCTCTCTCTCTCTCTCTCTCTCTCTCTCTCTCTCTCTCTCTCTCTCTCTCTCTCTCTCTCTCTCTCTCTCTCTCTCTCTCTCTCTCTCTCTCTCTCTCTCTCTCTCTCTCTCTCTCTCTCAATCTCAAGTATTCGACGCAAAAATCTACATTTTAGTTGGTCATAGCAAGAATATCCGATTATAGGCGTTAAAATTGGTCGCATGGGATTTAGGCTTGAAGTAGTGTCAGTAAACTGACTGAAGAATGTACAGTGTATACTCTAGGGATGTGGCTTGCAGGCTCTCAGGGTCTGTTTAGCTCTTTAGGATGGGTACACACTACACATGGTCACATGGTCACATGATAGGTACACATCATCGTATGTGGTGCAAGTGGTAACCACAAAATTAGTGAACTGTGAACGACATGAAGTGAGTAGTATATATATTATATATATAATATATATATACTACTGAGTGGAATTGAATGAACATGCCCCATTTTGCAGGTACCTAACCCACTGTTCGACTTGGCTGGCATAACCTGTGGTTACATGCTTATTCCATTCCTAACATTCTTCCCTGCTGTGCTTCTCGGCAAATCAGTCTTCAAAGTACACCTCCAGGTATTTATATATAATATACATAGCTGCTCACTGTTATATTTCAACTTTTCAGGGAAACTTTTCTTGGAAAGAAATACAATTGAACACAATCTGATTTTATTAGTTTTTTAGAAATTCGACACGCCTTATCTTGAAAAGTCTGATACATAGTATGGAACGGGGTTCATTGAAATATTCGTGAAAATATTCTTGAAAATATCTTTGAAAATATCATCCTATCATAGGGTAGGCAAGACGTAAACAAGTTTGAATATGATGTGCAAATTATTCTATATTACATGACGTACTACGTAATAAAGTAGAGCATCCACTCTCTAAGTCTAACCACCCTCTATCCCAGATGGTGTGCGTTGTGATCCACTCTCTAAGTCTAACCACCATCTATCCCAGATGGTGTGCGTTGTGATCCACTCTCTAAGTCTAACCACCCTCTATCCCAGATGGTGTGCGTTGTGATCCTCTTCACAGCAGATAACCTCAAACTGTTCGGAGAGAAGATATCTCACCTCCCCCTCATAGGACCAGCTCTCCATGGTCCCTTTACAGAGTATATGGAACAGCAGAGGATTACACTTCATGGTTCCTCCGCAAACCACATCCAACATGTGAGATACTCGTATTTTTGTATAGTTATATTACTTTAGTGTGTATGATTTTAGTGTGCAATTTGCTTTGTTTCAGTGAGTGTTACCCACCTCGAAATTATTATAATATATTATATATTGTTATATTATAATATATAATATATTGTATATAATAATAGGAATCCCAACCAAACATCTGCAACTGGTCGTTTCTGAACGGCTTATTTTAGCCAAACTCTCCTTTACAGACGATAACCATTGCTTACAAATATGATTATCGATATTAAACTGAACTTATTATTAGGTATGTTACTCATAAAATGTATAATTTCAGTCGCCCACAGTGATCAGCATAGTGTTCAACGTGTTTGTGGGTCTAATGTTACTGTTCTTCCTCGTGTCCATAATACACGGCACTGCACAGCAGAAGTTCCGAACACTGAACAAGAGCAGGTATTACAAGCTGAGTATGGAGGAGAGTGAGTGATAGTGTTTAAATAAGTTGTGTATTAAAACCTGTGGGGCTGGTTAGTTGTGTTAACACAAGGTTTTATTTATTAATGGTTGTGTTATGTCTTTATACAGAATGAGTAGAGATCTCTAGTTTTCTTTGACGTTAGGAATTGTCAAGAGCCCATCTTCGTTAACAAACTGTCAGAGTTGTTGGCTTTTCAAAACACCATCACGTTATGATAATATTATGGTCCCTAAACGGCTTAAATGAATATAATAGTATGTAAGCAATATTCGTGCACTCTCTCTCTCTCTCTCTCTCTCTCTCTCTCTCTCTCTCTCTCTCTCTCTCTCTCTCTCTCTCTCTCTCTCTCTCTCTCTCTCTCTCTCTCTCTCTCTCTCTCTCTCTCTCTCTCTCTCTCTCTCTCTCTCTCTCTCTCTCTCTCTCTCTCTCTCTCTCTCTCTCTCTCTCTCTCTCTCTCTCTCTCTCTCTCTCTCTCTCTCTCTCTCTCTCTCTCTCTCTCTCTCTCTCTCTCTCTCTCTCTGCAATTGGCCTCACAGTGTATTGTGTAATTGTAAAGGGAAAAATTCAGTTAAAACATTTCCCTTTATTTAATAAGTTAGTTTGATAGTGATTATATTGAATGAGTAATTTTAATACAGCGTCGACTCGAATATATGGGTTGTTTTATTACAGAGTTTTAAATTATTACAGCCTTTTTAATTAGATTCTTATTTTCTTTGCTTGAGTTTTTATTGTATTTGTTCAAAATTCAGATTATATTGTGGTGTTTTATCGTATTTTTTGAGGATGCCCATTAATAAATGATTACTTCCTTTTCAGATTTGTTATTGAGATTACAGTTTTTATTTATAAATTAAGTTGTAATTATGATGTAAGCATGATTGAATAAGCATCATGTTATATAGTTTCGAATTATCTACGTATAATTAATGATAATATTTATTCATTTTGAAAAGGAGTCCAGAAAATATGTTCTGTATTAGATTAGATTTCTTGAAATAATATCCACTGTATCTTCTCTATTTTTAATTTATTGAAAAATAATGCGTCATTGCACTATATTGCACTGTATTGCACTATATTGCACTGTATTGCACTGTATTGCACTATATTGCACTATATTGCACTGTATTGCACTATATTGCACTGTATTACACTGTAGTGCACTGTATTGCACTATATTGCACTGTATTACACTGTATTGCACTGTATTGCACTATATTGCACTATATTGCACTGTATTGCACTATATTGCACTGTATTGCACTGTATTGCACTGTATTGCACTGTATTGCGCTGTATTGCACTGTTATGCACTATATTGCACTATATTGCACTGTATTGCACTATATTGCACTGTATTGCACTATATTGCACTGTATTGCACTGTATTGCACTATATTGCACTATATTGCACTGTATTGCACTATATTGCACTATATTGCACTGTATTGCACTGTATTGCGCTGTATTGCACTGTAATGTACTATATTGCACTGTATTGCACTATATTGCACTGTATTGCACTGTATTGCACTATATTGCACTGTAGTGCACTATATTGTTACTTGCATTATATGGTGGACCAGGAGCTAATATTGCTGTCAGATATCGATTTGCAGGGATTCTATAAGGACTGTCATATTGTTTCCATGAATATTAATCTTCTTAATATGATTATTAATTTTGAATGACGTTCAGTAATTTTTTGTACTAGGTTGCCCTTGAAAGAAGAGAAAAGAGAAACGTCTCACTTACTTGACAAACAAACAGATGAACAAACAGACAAGCAGATGAACAAACAGACAGAATAAGTTGACCAACTGACTTTGTACCATGAGAAATTTTGTAAATCACATGTTTACAGCTCCTTTCCCAGTCTAAATTATATAATGGAAACTCGGATATTCGATATAACCCATGAAAGCATTAAGGATAGAATTATTAGAAGCAGATTGGGGTTGACTGTAAAATTTGACTGATATTTTCCGCTGTGTTATTCCTTAAGATCTTTAGGATTTCGATTTTAACCGATAAAACTTGTGTTATGATGAATGATCCAATTAAATATAATTCTGTAATTGTGTTGAACAAATAATAAGCTTCAGCTACAGGTCAAGAAATTTTATTTGATATGGTGTAACTACAATTTATCTTTGTATGCTAAGGTGAAAATCTTGAACAAATTTGTTAACACTAATTATTTCTTTGTCTTATTTGTCCCATTTCTGAAAATAGCTGAACTGGAAACAATTTGCCAGAATTGAACATTTTTACAATATGTACGTTTTTGGTTTGCGAGATTACTATAATAGAGTAAATCGAACTAATTTAAAATATTCGTAAATCTGTTTTAGGAGGTCGTTACTTGTTTATAGAAACTGCAAACTTTAAAAATAAACCGACCAAGCAGAGTTTCTGAACGACTAACAACAACTGAATGGCTAGAAATAAATATAACACGATCAGCCCCAATATGTCTGAAAAAATTAAAGAAAAGGCAGCAAGGTTGTACAGTAAAATTATTTCTCTAAAAAGCAAACATCAATAAGTCGGGACAGCAACTTTCCAAATGAACTCCACGTATGTTTTAATCTAGATTCTAGACAAAAATGAACAAATTGCTTAAATTCTGATAGATTTAAAACTAGAATCACTGTACAAAGCGTAAGATCTGACTCTTTTTCAGATGATCGGAAACCAAAACCAGTCTGGCGCAAATAGCTAGTGCCACATTTCGGCAATTTTATACCACCTCCCTCTCTCTTACTTAGAGTGAACGCCACATCCCACTTTGTACTCATTTTCCAACCCCCCCCCCCCCCCCTCCCTAAGCTGGCTTGTGTAATTTATTTGAACGATCCCATATGGTAGCATCCTATTTGAACAGAAAATATCGTCTCGGTTTTGGCAATTGGGCGACTCCTGTCCGAGAGCGACTCTTGTCCGAGAGCCGGATTAGCGGTTTCGGACAAGAGTCGTGTTACTGGTTTTGGCTTTTACAGTTTCCTGTATCTTACATTTAATTAAACTTTAAAAACGTACAATAATATTAATTTTCACAAATTTACATCGATATGATTTACTTTTCCTAAAACAGTTATACGTTCGCGTTGTTGTTACAGATGCGTGATGTTCAACTAATCATATCAATTTCATATTAAGTTGAACGTTATAAACCTGTAGTTATGAGTCCTTGCTCAGTGATTTGGGTTTCACTAAGCGACACCAGGGCTACTGCTGTGTTAATATAATGAGAACTCAAACTGGTACCGTCCCCATCAACATGGGTCGTAGATTGTTCACTGCCCTGATTCACGATTTTCTGCAATTTATTTATTATCATTCCGTGACCAAAAAGTGTAGCACCCGATATAAAGACTAGAACTCCAACTGACACAACCGCGATCAGCGCCAGACTAAAATTAAAAGAATCCGGATCCTTGGGTGGAATCAGGGAGCATTTACCGAGAACCATGTCTTGTGAGCAAGATTGCTGGAACTCCCTTGCGTATCCGTCTATCTTCACTCCATAGCCTTTCTGACACTGGAAGGTGATGTTTGATCCTGGAAGAAAGAAAGGTTTGTCTTCAATGTTAGTCACTGCACCCTTCGCTATCTTCAGATGTTTCATTCGGCACGGCTCTTCCCATTCTCTTTCTAATCTAAAGAGGTATTTCAACACGGGGTTTCCAGCACTTTTCTTTTTAGTAATGGATTGATGGAGGGAGAAAACACATGAAAAGCTTGAGTGGATCAGTAATATTTCTTGAGAGGGGTCATCTTTTTGGCAGGGAGCCAGGGCTAGTGTTGGGATATCATCATTGCTCGTAAACCTTGTCAAACACTCATCAGTTCCTTCCAGTGAGATTTTCACGTTCTCCGTATCTTTATTTACTATTTGTTTTATCGACCAACGGTCTGCATTGGAACACCTATTCCATGATATGAAACGAAACGTAGTATCGGCACGTTTAATGTGCCTGTCCGTGGACGTCAAGCATTGGTGATGGAATGTCTTGATGATGAGTCCCTCTGCCAGATGCCACCTCCGCCAGAGAGCGTGCTCCTGAAGCCGCTCTGGACATGTCCTATCGAACTCCCAACACGCTGACTTTGAACCCACCACACTGTTTTCATCCTGACTGGGAACTGCGTTGGTGTACACCATCAGGTCCGAATAGGTGGAACATATTAGTGAGGTGAGATTGATGGAGAAAGAAGAGCATTCCTTCATCAGCTTGCAGTATTTCCAGCACTCTTCTTTCCCTTCTAGTACTGTAAACACACGGTGCGGGGTAGACCCCTTGAAGGGCATTTTGAAATAATAGAAGCAAGGCCTTGGGAGGGCATCACGTTCGATATTGATAGCATCAGACACGGTAGGTGCTAGCTTTGTTTGACTAGGCAATTTGGTCTGACCCATTATCAGAAATGGCAGAAAGGCTAGTGAAAAATGTTTCTCTCAACATACTTCAACCGAATCAACCTGCTGCTGTGATGTTAGTATAGTAATTCTCTGAAAGGATAAAACCCAGGCCCCAGCCAAAACCCAAGATAACCAATGAATTTAGACATTTAAAGTATCTATTAAATAAAAATAAATTCAACGTTCTTGGGCCAACAATTATAAACGATATAATATTATGCACGGATTTTTTACTTAGAAACAGCCAAAACCGCCAGCAGTTACAGCAATTGTTGGCACCAAAAGATTCGATGGACCTAATCTACAACTGCTGTTGGACCTAATCTACAACTGCAGTCGAATACTAAAAATAGAAAATACTTCGATAACTTGAAGAGACGGTGAGACCTTGATTAGAGTATTTTTATAACGATGACATCTTATAGAAGGGTGCCGCTTCTTGAACAATGAGAATGATCATGGTGGTTCCTTCACACAATAGCGTATCAGTTTGCATTTGTCGTACTCACTTTGCTTTTGTTACTCGCCATATTGCTGTAGTATTTCATATTCGGTCTTAAACCTCAGTTCTACTTCAGCTTTAAGAGATTATTTGAGGATTTTGGTCATGAAATGGAAGGGTTTCGGTCACACTAACTCACAATTTACTGAGAACACTGAATATCGGGGTCACTGGGGCACGCCGCAAGAGGTCAGAGTGACAAAAACTACGAGTCTCAGTTTTATGAGGCCTAACATTCCGGAGTAAATAAAATGGTATAACTTATTATCTCGAAAGGGTAACGTTAACATCCAAAGCTACATCCTACAGTAGTTTCCCATAAATTATTTGTGTTGAAAATATTACATCTTTTGAATCCAATCTTCGTTTGGTGAACTTTAATATCTTGTGCAAGGACATCGACTTTTGACAGGACCAGATAGTGCTAAGATATATAATACGTTATTATATCATGTCTGATGTAACTTTAAGAGCTTATAGAAATCATGAATTTTAAAGGATATTGCAGTTAATAGCAAACCCTAGCAAAGAGAGCAAAATTGTGATTTTAATCAAATTCAGACAATTGTCTAAGCAATCGCCTGACATTTCAAAGTTTTAAACCCCTATCATCTTTGTACCAACTACCGACCGCCCCCCCCCCCCCCCCCCCCCCCCCCCATAAAATCTCGGGAAGGGACGGAAAGGGGCCAAAATTTTGTGGCCTAATTTGGCCTATCCGTCATTGCATTATCCAAATTTCTTTACTGTTAAAGTGTAGTAAAAACATAAATTCCGTCATTGCATTATCCAAATTTTTTTACTGTTAAAGTGTAGTAAAAACATAAATTCCTCATTAATGGAATTCATTCCTTATTAAAGCAAAAAATGTTCCAGATTCTTCTCTTTGCACCCTTTTTGAGACCTATTACTGTAAGTATATTTTCAAAATTTGCAGGACCTACCTTATCATTTGACCCCTAAATTGGAACTGCAAAGCCAAAATCTTGCTGGATTTATCATTTCACATTTAATTGCTAGATTTTAATCCTGAAAGCAAACTTTCTGAAATTCTTTTAAAGAATACAATATGCATCCATTTTTCGAACCACACTTATTTAGCAACAGCTGCTGGCAGGCTCTAATATGCATTTAAAACCGTATTATTTGAATCGTTCTTAAAACTGTGTTTGAATATGATCTCTAGTGCCAAATTGCTCAACTAGGCCTTTTGCACGAGCAATGTTCGCCATTAATACACATCTGCTAACAGAATTTGGACAGGATGCAGCTTTCGGCAGTCCTGCCATAAACTTAAAACTTATTATATGCAAGCCTGGCTAACAATGAATGTTTCGCTGTTTTGACACTCTATGGCCCCCCCCCCCCCCCACCCATGAAGAAAATCATTCCTACACCCCTGAGATACCTTCTCTATTTTTAATTTATTGAATAAGAATGGGGGGGGGGTCAGGCCTTGATTGACGATGTCAACCCATCGAATGATAGTTCGTTAGGCGATGTCCTCCAAGGTCATCAAAAAATGATAAGCTTTAATTACGGGTCAAGAAATTTTAATTGTTATGATATATGTTACAAATTGTCTTTGTGTAGTGTATACCTACTAAGGTGAAATTTTAACACTTATTTCTTTGTCTTATTTGTCCCATTTCTGAAAAAATCTAAACTCAAAACAATTTGCCAGAATTGAACATTACAACATTACATACACATTTTTGGTCAGCGAAATTACCTAAATAGAGTAAATCGAAATAATTTATAAGATTCGTAACGACAAAAACTTCTCGATCACTATTGACTATTACACAGGTTTTATTGATAGTTAAATAAGTCTGATAACAAGATTTAACATCGATATCCTGTGCTCGACCACAATTAAATTGATAAATACTATCTTGTCCAATGCTTGATTATAACATAAGAGTTACGATCCCCTAATAATTGCTCCCTTTTTAAGGTGTGAGCATATCCTGCCTTTAATCAGAGAGTTCCTAGACATTAGAATGAAATAATAAATCTACCGATACCTTGTCTTGCTACTCTCGCAACAGGCTAGTTTATAAGTTTAGATTTCTGCTGAACGAAAGCTGATTGCAATGCGCACAAGTCAGTGCGTTCACCTCATGTATGTTTGAGTTTGATGTTGAACATGATGTTCATTCTGCATGTAACCTGTTGAATTTGGTCGCGTGTGTAACATCTGTTCAAATTGTCAGGGGATCATTTGTATAAACCACAAACTTTTAAAATAAACCGACCAAGCAGTGTTTCT